ACTCACTTATTTATAGCTTTCCAAGTGCTTCTATCATCAACAATTGTAGTAGCATCCTAGGTTACCACCACCTTTGCAATAATGCCCAATGCGTCATTGTCTACCTTGTCTAAGGTAAGCCCAAGTTACAGTATAGGAGCCAAATAATAAATCGTTAACTTGAGATCCAAATAATAAATACTTGATTAACACCAGCCGAATGGTCAATATTTTTTTCCCCTTTTAATAACTAATTACATAATAACTAAACTAAAGAGAAATTTTGATGCACTTGTAAAGTTGTTCAACACTACTCAAGACAATAACAACATTTACTTAACGTTGACGATTAATGTTCTTCTTTTGATCAATAACCTACAAGAGATTAAATTGCAAAAATACAAAAGAACGTCAAATTTAATCATACAAGACATAATAGTACATATCAATCCTCTATCAGAACTTACAACAATTATTATCACGTGCTATATTCCATATTCTTTCTCTTGAATAAAATAAAGATAACACATCAATTCAATTGTTAACTATGTAATTTAAAAATATTAAACACCATAACAACCATTCAAGATAAACAAATATTTAATTTCAAATTCTTTAAATTAATATTAAAACTTCATAACAAATCATTTATGAAACATCATCCAAATTCAAGATGTAGGAATAAAAAGAGGAGAATCCCTTAAATCTCTTCAATCCTTTTTAAAAATCTCACGTTGCATTGTCTACTTCACCTAAAATCCAAGAAATAATCTTCAAAATGTGATTGTGAATGTTGAAATCTTGTAACCTTTTTTTGTTCTCTCTCAAATGCTGGGTATCTCAAAATATGGCCTTCAAAGTAAGCTAAATACGTGGTAGAAATACATTCTATAAACAGTGCAAATTAAAGTAGGAAACACAATTTTATCTGTCGATCAACAATGTGTGATCACATAGTATATTTCATTGAAATCGCACTTAACCGTCCTGTTTAATTTTTTTTTATTTCTTTAATTTTATTTTTTACATTTTAATACAATTTAAATTGAAAAACACAAAATAAAATAGATTTGAGAAAGGTTCGGAAGATTCGAGACACACCATGTTTTCCATCCCATCCGTTTTCCTAAATATATAAAAGAGCGAAGGCATTGGCCGGATACGAGTCGCCAGTATATATCGTCCTGTACTTTTATTTATTTTTTATTGTGTTGGACGAACTAGATGTAGCCATACCATTTCTCCATTTTTTCACTCAATCGATCATCCCTCTCCATTCCTCTGCTCTTCTTCATCTTCTTTCATTTCTTTCCAAAAATTAAAAAAAAAATCTGAATTATAATTTGCTCAATTGCACGTACTATTATTACGGGTTCATCAGTTCCTCGGATATCGACTTGCATTCTAGGTATTTTTGTTCTATTCTTTTAAGTATAATTTAAAATAAAATAGACCGTATACATCTAATACATTCTTTTTAGTTGAAACTAGCATTGCAAGCTTTTGTATACATGACATTTCTTCCTCTTCTTCTTCTTCTTCTTCCTCCTCCTTGACGTCAAATCAAAATCGAGTTGATTGCGTGTTTTATGTAAGTTTATTTATTTATTTATTTTTGTTTGGTGAATTGATGGAATTTCGGAGAATTTAATAATTTGATTTGATCTGAATTGGAAGAGAAGTTTGGACAAAACTGGCTGATTTTAGATAGATATATACAAAACCATCTAAAGATATTGAAAGATATTAAAACGATGAAGTTGACTCGAATTTTTGAAGGTGCAGCTCACAGAGCAAAGGTCCACCTAGCCCGGAGCTCTTGCTCCACGCTCTGTTGCTCCGTGCAGCGCAGAGCTATTTCCCTTTTTTTTTGTAGGAGAGTTGATTTTAATTAGCTTTATTGTGTAAACTTGGAGTGTGTATATAATAAGTTTTACAGTATAAACTTGGAGTGTGTGTTCGTTAATTCTTTCCCGTTAAAAACCCCAGATGCCCGAATTGGGGGAAAAAAGTTGAGGGGGTTTGATTCTCTCTTTCTTCCAATTCAATGTAAAATATATTCTAACACGGTGCTGATATTTTTTCGGCTTTGTTTTCAAAGTCTCATCCGTAAGTTGAGTGTCAATGTTCTGGGTTCCTCCAAAAATTTACAGAATACATAAATTTTGTTTATCAATCACTTAGCATGTGCTGTGTTTGAAAAAAATCAAAGCTTTTACCTCTTTATTTTGCTAATTTTCTTCATCTGATTTTCCAGTATCTTCTATCTCTTGTTGTTATATTTTGGCAAGAGCAGCAATCATCACCCACCCCATCCAAGCAAGTCAAGGGGTCTTCTAATCCTGTTACCTAAAGGTGCAATTTTTTTATTTTTCTTTGTGTTTTTTAATCGAATTTGTTGATTTTTCGTGTTTACTTCTTGTTTGTTCTTTAGTTTTCGAGAAATTCAATCAGAATTTATGCCTATTTTGGTGTAATTTCAGGTTCAGAAAGAGTTGATGGATCTCATGGTATGTGTGTTAATCAACTTGGAGTTTCTCTTCATTTTGGAGATGACGTTGTGCAGATGAGATTCGTCTTTTGAATAATTAGTTCAATACCCACGTTTGTGCTCCTCCCACATTATTATAAATTTTAAAATCTCTTTTTTCTTGTATATTTCATTTGTTTATAGGAAAACGTGTGCTCTTAGATCTGGAAATATTGTACATATTTTGTAAGGTAGATTAAATGGATTAAGAAAGAAAAATAAGAGTTTTATAATCTTGTTTTATTTATGTGTGATGATTCAGAGAGTGCATGGGCGGAGAATGCTAAGCTTGCAGCACAGAGTCGTGCAAAAGGTTTATTCCATAAATCTCCATCCAGCCATAATGGAGGTTTTTTTTTCTTTTTTCTTTTTTAATCAAAACCTCCATCCAGGATGGAAATTTTTTCTTCATCTTGGATGGCCTAAACCTCCATCCAGGATGGAGAAAATGGAAAGTTTCCATCTTGGATTTCAGGGAGAAAGTTCTCCATGGATTGGAGAGAAATCGAAGATTTTTCGTTTTTTCTTCATGATAAAGCTTAATTTTTTCAATTTTAGTTAAATAATATTTATATATTCTTTATTTAATTTTCGTAACTTTCTTTTGTTTAATTTGTTTTGTTTTTATTATATATTTTTTGAAAATTATTTTAAAATTTCTTTTTTTTTTTATATATTATGAATAGTTTTTTTAGATTTAAAATTCTTTTTAATTCTTTTCATTTTCTGATAAAACGTAACTTTTTCAATTTTAATTAAAATTTTAAATTTAATTTTAATTATTTCAACTTAATTAAAAAACTTTATAATAATTTTTTTTTGTTTTTTCTATTTTTGCCTGCAATTCTTTCTTCTATTCTTTAATTTGTTAAATCATTTAGTTTTCTTCTTTATTAGCATTGGATTAAATGAAGTGAAGTAATATGTGAAAATGGAGAAATGTTGCAGTGGAGATGATGATTGCAGTGAAGTGGTGGAGAAATGATTGAAGGTCCCTTTTTGCTCTCACGATTAAAAAAAGTTTGAAATTATTTTAATTCTTTTCTTTTTATGATAAATCTTAATTTTTTGAATTTTAATTAAAAATTATTTATGTATTCCTTATTTAATTTTCGTAACTTTCTATTGTTTAATTTGTTTTGTTTTTATTATATTTTTTCTAAAATTGTTTTAAAATTTCTTTTTTCTTCATATTATAAATAATTTTTAGTCCGATTTAAAATTCTTTTTAGTTAAACTTTGAAAAGTTTGAAGAGGTTTTCTCCCTTTATGGTTATGCCCATGTCTACTTTATTTTCTAATGTTGTAATTGCGTTTTTGCAATCTTACACTCAAGCTCCAATGACAACAATATCATTTCCTTGGAAGAAAGTTGATACATAAAATTGCATTTAACATTTTAAGCTATAATTTAGGATTTTGCATGGTGTGTCTGTCAACATGAAAAATCATTTTTAATGCAATAGTGTAGATATTGTTACGTTATATATCATATATAATTAAGATAATCATAGTATGGATTACGAGCAAAATTTGAGTGAGTTAAATCATATTTTAGGCTCAATTAATATATATAGAGAAATATATTCCGCATAAAAAAATTTTTTTCACAAACTTTTGTATAGGAAAATACCTAGTACAAATATATGCAAATTCTCAAATGTTCATATAATGAATAAAAAATATACAAAGAAAATTGATGACAAATAAGTCAATTTCAACGAATTTATGAATACCTTTCAAATTTAAAAATGAATTTTTCTAAAATTTACATACGCTTATTTTAAATATTAACCAATTATAGTGCAACACACTTTCACCCACTAGTATTGAGACAAATTGGGGCAGGGAATTTTAGTAGCCTGACCTATCCGAAACAAAACTAATATGAGGAGCTGAAGAATAATTTTATAATTCCTTGAGCATCTTCAATACTCTTTATTTTAAAAGTGTATTATGCATTATAGAGTATCTACAAATTTAAAGAGCAAAATATTTTATGCACTTCAACAATACTCTCTTTTTTGACTTTTCATTTTGCTTTTCTCAAGAAATATTTATTGATTTTTTCTCATATTTTATTTAACATAATTTTTTTATATGTCAATGGCCAGTTATGTTTTGAATAGTGTAAGAAGTAAAGTATTAAAATCTGTGACTTATTAAATGCATTCATTGTATATTAAAAATAGAAGTGAGTTTCACTCTTCATTTTTGAAAAATTAAAACGAAGAGTCTCTTAAAGCTTCCCTTTAAGCATTAATTATATAAAATAAATAACATTTTGTATTTAGATTGCTTCTTAGAGATGCTCTTAGGAAAAAAGAAATGATAACAACTGAGAACATTGTGTTATTATTAAGCTGCTCTTAACAAAACATAAAGTCAAAATTCGACATCTACATTTTGCCTGTTAAAATTTTAGGCCATATATTTAAAGTTATAAATGCCTGGCTCGTGAGAACAAATGCTATGGCATATAGAACATCCGGCTACGTTTTGTACGTTAGATTAGACTGAATTCGACAACTACAAATTTTATGTCAGGTTGAGCATTCCAAAGATTCCGTTCATGTCATTCTTATTGCCCTTTATTTAGTTACGCCTTTATAAGTAGAGGCTGAATCAGAGTGCTCAGCAGAACCCAAATTGTTCCAATAGGTCCCAACTATTACCTATAATAGGCATCTCATCAGGGTTTCGACCAGGAGGCTTCCTCAGGGAAGAAGATGCTATCTGTTTCAGATCCTCGATTGTCAATGCACCTAGAATTGTTCGATCATCAAAGCTCCTCATTGAAGTCGAACCTTGTGATATTTTTTTTTGTAGGAGTGATATCGGGCGAAACCAACCAGCTCGAGAGGCTTGAATCAATGTCGCTCTCTTTATTTGCATTGTTCGAATGATCCAATTTTGGCTTCAAAATATGTGAAGATTGCTTAAAATTTGGTTCTAAACGACTAAATGAAATGTGGGGTGCTTCAAGGTCAGCAATCAAGTTTTCCTTTTGTGGCTTCAAAGGCTGCATCCCTTTTAATCTCACGGCTTTCCACTGAGTAGTATTCTCAACAGGGTTCAACACGGAATTGACAGTCACTTCCATCCCTGCATTTATTTTTTGTCCAAAAGCCTCCATTATTCTCTTGGGCAGTGCAATCCGTATCAAAGGACGCTCTACTTCCTCGTTGATAGTTCGAGCTGAAGTATCTTCTGTCCTTGACTTCATAGATGCAGTTAAAACTGACTCGGACCACACTTCTTTGCAAGCAATTCCATGATCATAATCAGAATCATCTTGATCGTCCATCACGTCTAGATCATCCAAGTCAATATCACCATACTCTTGGCTTTCATCATTACCGTCAATAATATTGTGGTACCTATGATTCGGTGGATACAATCTGACATTAGATGCCACAGAACAGTTATTTTCAGAGAGTGACAGTGATACTCTGTGCTGCATAAATTACACCCTGCTGCCGTTGAACATTCCCAACCCTGTTTCTCTGTAACAAGATTTTAGTAATTTGATTCAATTCAGAAAACCCAGAATCCAAACAAAAGTCGAAATACAGATATACTAATGTCGTGACTTCAAAGCACAAATCAAGAACTTGTCTGTGCTTTACATTGGGGGAAATAATAGAACATAGGACTCAAATTTTGGTGAAAAACAAAATTTAAAGCTCCATCAAGAAAGAAGAATCATAAGAGTCGAACCAAAAGATAATCCCACAACCTAAAACCCGCTTATTCGATTTTAACAGATTAAAACATCGAAGAAAATTAATAAACAATCAAGAAGTACAAACAAGGGAAAGAACTGAAATTGGGTTAAGCTAAGAAAAGTGTCTAACTTGGTCTCTAGGGCTGCCACGATTAACCATCTGTGTGCGGCGTTTGGAATTCTTTGAACCACCAAAGCACCCAAGAAAACAACCCATTAAGCGCAATTCAAGAACCATTGAAAAATCTCTCTCTTTTCTTGGGGTTCAAAAACTGGATTTTGCTCCAGTTAAAGACGATTTGGAGGGGGTTAACGTTGAAGGATCTTCATGATTGTTGTTTTACCCGTTGGAGAGTAGAGAGAGAGAGAGAGGAGAACGTTTAGGGAGAAAGGAGGGGGAATGGTCGAAAATTTGGCGGGTCGAATGTGGGTTTAAGCTTATACGTGCTCGAAGGATGAAGTGACCATTCAATAAAAGTCGTGTTACTCACTGCACGAAAATGCGGAAACGTAACTGTAGGCAATCAATCTCACTTCCGGGGTACTTTTAAGTTTGACCCAGTCAAAAGACCTAAATTTTAATTTGACTATCAAAATTATGAATATTATGACATCGACCTCTTGTATGGTAAAAGACAAAGATGCCCTTAAATGTTTTGTACAATTACAAAACAATATATTGTTGAAAGGACTTTACTACCCTTTTAGTTAATAATTGAAAATCAAACACTTCCCCACTTATAAAAACTTCAAAACGAGCCTCCAACACAGAAAAAATTCTCATCTTTTCATCTGCTTGAACCTCAAATTCTAGAAAGATTTTGAAACATTGAAGCCGGAAATTTTTTTCATATCAATTACTTCAAATCGGTAAGTACATCTACGCATGTTTAATTTCGTTTTCAGTAAATTAGTATACGTTTGAATAGAGAAATTTTATGTGGACATAGTAGTTAACATAAAAAATTTTTTAACAGATCTTACCTAAAAAAAAAAAATTGAACAAATGTATAATATTTTTCTTTAGAACTGTAGAAGAATTTCTGCACAAAAACAGCCAAACAGTCAACTGTTTTGGTTGTTAACAGCCAATTAACACCGACTCTACACTGATTTTTGTTGACACTAATTTTTTCTTATAATGAATAAATGAAGTTGATTAAATCTATTTCTTCGTGCAGATATGATAATCGCCGTCTGTTATTTCAGTGATTTCGAATTGAATGAAAATAATTGGTGGGAATGGAGATGGACGGGTGACAGATGCGGTTGTATTGCAATTCCCATAACAGATAGTACATCATACTTAGAAATGTACAACGATTTACAAAATAAGCTGAATGTCGATCAATTTCAATACGATATGCAATTGAGATATCTATTCGACGGTTATGTGGATTCATCCATTCCAATTCCACCGGTAGTCGTTACTAATGATGCTAAATTGAATTATCTATTAGAATTGAATAAAATGCATCGGACTCCGACTGCTCTTGGTGTGACTTTAGTTAAGAAGGATGTCATCGAAGGTGAACGCGAAGATTCAAATAGGGCGGATAATAATGACTGAGGTTTTTGGAAGACAGTAGAGATAGTTCTTGCGGATGATGTGGTTATTCCTGAGACAGTTGCTCCTGATCGTGATGTCACTGTTACGCATAGAATTCCGTCGAAGTTGAAGATAATGAGAATATAAATGAGTTTACAAATGAGAATTTGATTACTTTATCCCGACAGAGACATGAGGTGGGTGGGAGCTCACGGGTTGGAACAAGTGGACCGTCCTCCAATTCTTCCCGTGTGGCTCCCGATGATGAGGATTTGCAGGTCGAGCAACTGTTTGAAACCAAAAAAGATTTGCAGGAAGCTGTGCACCGGCTGACATTAAAATATACTTTGAGTTCAAGGTAAAGAAATCAAACAAGTCATTGTTGACAGTTGCCTACGTCGAAGACAGTTACAATTGGCGCTTGAGAGCAATTAAGATGGACACGAATGAGTGTTTCGTAATTCGCAAGTATTCACGGGAACATACTTGCGAAGTGGGAATTCTTCGAAACGATCACAAGCAAGCTCGAGCATGGTTTATTGGTCGACAGATAATGCACAAGTATCAGGACCCACGGATAATCTACAGACCTTCAGACATCATTAACGACGTCCGTCGAGAGTATGGAGTGATCATGAACTACCAAAAAGCTTGGAAGGCCAAAGAATGTGCGTTGGAGGATTTAATGGGATAGGCTGAAGAGAGCTATGCTAAATTGGTTAGGTATTGCCATAACATGGGGACAACTAATCCTGGCACGACATTTTTTATTGAGACGGGGGGCGATAATTGTTTTAAGTATTTCTTCATGGCTCTCGGACAATGTATTCGGGGTTTTCGAAATGCAACGCTACCCGTAATTCTAGTTGATGGTACAACTCTGAAAACTAAATATCAAGGCAAATTAATTATTGTTACATGTCAAGATACCAACATCCAAATTTACCCTATTGCATTCGGCATAGTCGACAGCGAGAATGATCTGTCCATGCGTTGGTTCTTTTCTAAACTGAGGGAAGTGATCGGGGAAGTCGAAGACCTTGCCTTTGTAACCGATCAGGGACAGTCTATAATAAACGGTATTGCTGAAATTTTTCTCGAGGCACATCATGTGTATTGCATGTACCATATACAAGGTAATTTGAAGACTAGGTATCAGGGCACAGGCATCGTTTCATTGTTTAGGAGAGCAGCCGAAACTTATAGTGCTGAAGAGTGTAATAAGTTCATGATCGAGATAGGAAATAAATCATTATCGGCGTTGGAGTATCTGACGAACATGGGGATCGAACATTGGGCACGGTCATACTTTTCAGGACGTCGATACAACATGATGACGTCGAATAACTCGGAGTCTCTCAATGCATTGTTTAAGAAGGATCGAGAGTTACCAATTCTCGCTATGATTGAGAATATTCGTAACAAGCTACAACAGTGATTTCATGATCGACGTGCGGCATCACAAAGTTGCACTAGCGTGTTAGCCCCATCTCAAGAGGAGAAATTATTTAAGGCGGCAGAGGTTGTGAGGAAGTTGAATGTGGAAGCACTAGATGAGTTTCGCTTCTCTGTGCAATGTGCACGTAATATGGCATATATGGTGGACTTGACTGATAACACATGCACTTGTACAAGATTTCAGTTGGAGAGTTTTCCATGTGAGCTTGCAATTGCGGTGGCCATATATCGAGGTTTTGCTGCGAGAACGTTATGCTCTTTGTATTATACGACCGAGTCTTGGAGAACAGCATATGCTGAGACTATATTTCCTCTACCGAATGAAGCCAAGTGGGAAGTTCCCGAGCACATTCTCCCATTTCATAATTTGTTGCCACAAGCAGTTGAACTGCGTGGTCCTGGACGTCCAAGTACATCTAAAATACCATCTACCGGAGAGTTTCCTCGACTGCGTAGGTGTGGTAGGTGCAGAGCCGTAGGGTATACTCTGCAATTTTGTACCAGTCAAATTCCCCTAAATGACGATTAGACATGTACGTTAAATGAATAATATTTCCTTTTACTTTACACTGTTCAATATTTGTTCTTTATAAATTTTCGATGTTCAATATTTATTCTTGATAAATGGTATTTATAATGATTCATAAAAAAAAATAGTTCCATGCTCAGTCTAAGTGTAAAATAACAAAACAAAAAATATAATTAAATTTCCAATATGAATGTTATATACATTGAACACAAATTTACAATTATTTCATAATCACAAAAAATAATTAAATTTACAATTGAAATGTTACATATATTTAATACAAATTTACGGATCAGCATTAAATTCGAACAAATCACATGCTAGCTTCTTTCTCCAGTTTTGTATCCACAACTGGTTGATTCCATCAACCTTATGCCCTATACTTAAAAATTCTACGTACTTAATGGCAAATATGCCGCAGTCGCTGCTGCAATTGAACAATAATGAATCAATTCAGTACTGTGTAACTAAAAACTAAATCTAAAAGATAAAAACAACAAAATTCAAACACTTACCTTACGGACTGTCGCGCTGTCGTCATGTTCCGAACAATCCGCAATCTGTCCTGTACATTTATCCTCGCTCGTCCGGCCATCATAGGAACAATTACAGCCACAGACTCCAGATTTTGTTCCAACTGGCTTTGTTTCAAACATGAATGATCTGGGTCGTACACATATATAGTCGAGTCAGCAAAAACGATCTCCAGTGTAACATAGTGTTTATTGATGCACACTGGAATGTACATATGTGTACAACCCTCCCATAATTTTTCCCCGACACTCGGTGACAGTTCTATCACACACTCGAGCATATATTCTGGCACCGTGTACTCGTTACCCATAAGTTCGAGCGACTGATACTCTATGATAACGGCGCGCAAGAATTCAGTGTTTAATATGACTCGACCATGGACATAAAATGATTTTGGATGTCTTTGAGCTCGATCTCGCAGCAAGTCTATGGCCAGGTTGATGTGCTGCAGCAGGAAGCACCAAAAAAGTATGAGTTATTCATTTAATAAATACAAAGTAACGTATACATAAAATACACAAAATGAATAGTTCACCTACATCATCGGCGAGCCAAACTCTTGCAGTGGTAATATCGTGGAACCACTTGTAAGGGTCTGAGATCGTCCGTTGACCTATCGTGCGGCTAACTCAGTAAAAAAAGGGAAATGTTAAAATAAGCGTAGACGAGTTAGCGTATAGTGCTTTATTAAAATCATACAATACTTACCCGGGGATACTTCTCCGTCACTCTGTCTCGAACGCTTTCCACTTGACATTCCCTGAATAAGTTTGGGTGCGTCCCATTGATGAACGTCATCCTCTTGGCTTTAGCCGTGAAGGGGGAAACAACATACTGTGACGGCACTCTCAACCTCTTGCCGACCACCTGCTCCGTCTCGTCAACAGCATGCCTCTTACCCTCAATCACGCCGAGCGTCCTCTGTCCCTCCCATCGGGGCCTCCCCCTCCGCCCCTCCCGTCGGGGCCACCCCCTCCATAGACAACCACAATGACTCCAATGTCTCATCACGCCAAAAATGTGGGTGACCCCCCTCTCCATCACCATCTCTGCCACCCTCTCGATCATGATCTTCGCCATCCCCTTTGTCCCCCATCGTCTGCCGGCTAAATCTCTAAGTGTCGTTACTGTATCCTGAAGGTCGACAACGGAAGACTGTAGTATTCCAACATCATGGGATAGAACGTCAACCCTCTCTGTCAACTCTCGTCCCATATCGTCGACCCTCCCTGTCAGATAGTCGACCTTCCCTGCTAGATCGTCGACCCTCCCTGTCAACTCTCGTCCCAAATCATCGACACTCTCCGTCAAATCTCGTCGTAGCGTGCCGACCTCCTCCGCTATAAATCTAGTCAAACGGGTATACAAATCGTCACTGTGTGCCGGAGACACACGGGGGAGGTGTTGTTCACGAAATTATTTTCTTTCGATTTAAAACCCACCGCAAGTGTACGGTTCGCTAACAAGTAGTAAAGTGGACTATGAGTCCAAGTATCGCTCCCACGAGGATTAAATTAGCTCTAATTAAACTAATGTGACCTTAACCGAATCTAATTGAATGAAAATTTGGTTTAAATATGAAAACCCTAATTTTGGGAGAAATCCCCAATTGGAAACCCTAATTTCAAAATTTCACTAATCTAATGAAATAAATACGCAACTGAAATGTAAATACGCAATTTTTGAATTATTGTATTGAAATGAATTGAAATGAAATCATTAAGAACTTGAATCCCCAATTGATTATTAAAAACCATAATTTCACAAATTCAACGGATCGATGAACAAAATGCCAATTCAATGTTCCTAAATTATCCAATATACTCTCTCGATATATATTGAATCTATTCTTACACATCACCAGCCTATATTTCTATGGATGATGCAATGTATAGGAATGCATGACTTTTTATGAACATTTTCATGAATTGCATAAAGCATAGAGGTAAGTTTCCATCCCCTATCGAACCCTATGTCGATTTATATTCTATCGAATTTATTCCCCTTCTTTCGAATGCAAAGAATAAATCATCTACAATCACATAATAATTGGCCAAATAATTATGGAAACATTCAACTCATATAAATCAAGCATTTGTCCAATCGAAATTAATATTGAATTTATGAAATAACGAGAATTTAAATCATCAAAAGGTTCATCAAATTCCTAATGAATAAAAACCCTAGCCTATAATCATCATTGCAAAAATCAAGAAATTGAAAAACGAAATTAAAAGATAATAAGAATACACCCGTATTGAAGTTCTTCAATCCGTGTGTATAATCTTCAATCCCGTCTCGAGCTCGTGTGAAATTGAATCCAAAATCAAGTTTCTTGCCTCCAATTTTGGTCTCTTCCTTCTCCCTGGTCGTTCTGCCCTTTCATATGATGATTTTTGGTATTTATATCGCGTCCAATTTAAGTAGGGAAGGAGTTTCAACCAAAACGAAAAACCGCGCCCGAGTGTTAAAAATCTTTCTATGCGACCGCATAGAAAGAATCTATGCGGTCGCATAGATCAATTTGTTTGGGCTCATTGAGTCCCTGGAGCCTTCTATGCGACCGCATAGAAGGTTACACTATGCGGTCGCATAGATGTAACATCTATGTGGTTTGTTCAATTTGGTCCCCGAACTTCTTTGTTGCTTCTCTTGACTTCTTTCTTCGATTTCTTCATCTTTTCAACAAATTTTATCTTCCAATTGATGATTGATACCATCAATTCTTATGCCCCTCATTCGGCATATCTTTTGAGTATTTGCGCTTTTGTCCTCCAACTTTCAATTGTCTTCATTTCAGTCCCTCTTCAATATTTTCTTCTTCCAGTTGTTTTGCTTTGTCATTGAGCTCATACTTGGCATGTCTTCCCTCTCTTTTTGCATTTAGCTCAACTTTTCAATATTTGCACCTTTGGTCCTCGAACTATCAAATTGTTGCGTTTTGGTCCTTCTTCGGCTCTTTTCTCCTGAATTCCACAATTTCCATTGAATTACCTACAATGCATAAATTTAACTGGATTAAGTCACAATTCAACCATTTTATCCATGTTTAAGTCATGTTTATGATCCAAATAAGTGTGTAAAAACACACTTATCAGGTGTGTGGACGGAGGTGATGCCACTGGCGGTGGTGATGCCCTCGACGGAGGTGATGCCAATGGCGGGGACGATACTCTCGGCAGAGGTGATGCCAATAGTGGCGACGATACCCTCGGCGGAGGTGATTGTGGATCAACTGGACCACCCTCCTACATAAATAACATTACAAATTATTCAATAAATTTATACGTCGATGATATTCAATAAATTATATTTCATTCACATACCCAATCTCGGTCCAAACTCGGATCAGACATCTCCTCGTCTGGGGTGTACGGAACGCCTAAATCCCGCACAAGACCCTGAGCCTCCTCTTCCATCGACGGCGTCAACTCAGGTATGACTTCAAGTTAACATATTGACATTTCAATACTTAACGATCATGTAAACAGAATTTTAAACTATGTGTTATATAAATCACAAATGCATAATACTTACCTGAGAATCGTCGAGGAGGGCCGATAACTATTTCTCAGTGGGACATCCCTCTGCTCGTTATGATCTGCAATGATACATCCGAGGGCAGCGTGTCTCCCCTCGTTGCGCAAAGCGGGCCCCTAGTACAGGGACTGTCTTACACACCCAAATCTGTAAAACATACACTTATTATGCACAAATGTAATATACTAAAATTTTAACTTTGATTATATTAAACGTTTACCTACATCGCTAAGGGCAATCCATATGTATTATATTTACTCATCGACCCCTGGGCCTCGAGTGTACTCTGGTGAAGACATATACAGTGTTTTCGTAGCATCTCCGGCCCCATGGATAGTTGTTAAACGCAACGATGTCGTCAACAATTTGCAAATGAAAAATGTCGATGGTAGTCTTCTTGTGATGACACCTCATCACACTCTCGAGGATGTAGACCAGCCCAAGCTTCAATCTATCTAGCATCTGGTCGCACCCCCTGATCGCGACCATCAAGTCGGGTAGAAGCACCGACCTATGTCCTTGGAAGTACGTCTCGAACAACCTATTGCTTCTCTCACTGGCTGTATCGTCGCCCGTAATCCTCAGTCCAGTGATCAATGTAAACTCAAATGTCGAGAAACTGACGACCTTGCCCCCGAGGTCGAACTGGAGGGAATCGCCGTCGACTGGCCTCAGAAGCCGACATAGAAGTGTATCGATGATCTGTTCTGAGTACTACACCCCTTGCAACTGGTACAGTAGCCACAAGAAGGACTGTCGTAGCATATCTCTGTGCTGATCATCGAACAGCTCCAACACAGCAGTAAAACTCTCAAAGCTACTGTTCCGAGTAGCCTTCCCCGTTATCCGTCTCAACTCCCCATCTAAATGATACTCCATCCTACAAAAATTCAAATGTTAGAGTATTGAACAATAGATAACGAAATAAAGCATAATCTCACAGAATCAAGGGAACCGAATTCTAACTACCATACAATACGCATTAAAATAAATTAGTTATAAAAAAAATTAATCACAAATATTACATTAGGAAAATATATTTAAAAAAATCAAATTAAATACATTTTCAAAAAAATTAAAGAATATAAATATTATTTAAATAAATTAGAAAAAAATCAAAGGTGAAAATAAAAGAACAATAAAAGGAACAAAATAAATTGTTAATTTCGGACAACATTATCTATTCAATTATTAAATTATATAAAAAAAAGGTAATTATAAAAATTACATAAATAAATAACATCATTATTATTTAATCAAATTAAAATAAATTAATTATAAATAAAATTAATCTTGTGATCATTTGGAAAATATATTTACAAACAAAAAATTTAAAATTAAATAAATTTTAAAAAAATGTAAAAAATATTTATATTATTTAAATAAATTTGAAAAAAAAATTAAAGATTATTTCATAAAAAAAAAAAGGAAACACACAAAATTGTTAATTGAGACGTGCTGGACGTCCAGGTCCCCAGGAGCCTATTTGGCGCTCCCCTATTGGGGGGCGCCAAATAGGCACCTGGACATCCAGGGGCCTGGACGTCCAGTTTTATTCTTGTTAATTTTAGATAATATTCAATTATTTATATTAAATAAAAGACAATTATAAAAATAAAATAAATAAATAACATAATTTAGTTTTAATGAAATAAAAAATTAAATTAATTACAAAAATTATAAAAAAATAAAAATTAATATATATTTTCCAAAAAAAATTGCAGACTGTTTAACAGTCAGGTCCGACTGTTAAGAGTCGGGTTGACTGACTGTTTTTTGACCGTCTTTCACGAAACTAGCCATATCGCCATTGTCGACGCCATAGAGGTCCAAAAATTACAAAAAAAATCACATTTTTCACCCCAACATGCCCACAATCTAACTACTCATGCTCATAAGATCTAATTAAACCCATTAAATATCATATTATTCAATAAATTAATCGAAACAAAAAATGTAATATTATTCCATTTTGACAAAAATCTGCGAGAAAACTAACCGGTATCGTTCTTTCCGGTGTAGATCGTGCTTCTGATCGGCGATTTAACTCACTACGACGTTGGTGTAGTTGGCCGGTGGTTGGTCGGTCAATTTTCAGGCGACTGTGCGACGGTTTGCTTTTTCGTCGATCGGTTAGAGAGTTTTTAGTTTGACAGTCACAATTTTAAAGGGTAAAATCGCCCTTTTAGTATAAAGTTTTTTTAAACTTAATTTTTTTTTTAATTCATCTACTGGGTCAAAGCCAATATCAAAAATTGCTACGGTCCCCATTTTTTCGTTTATTTCCTCCTCACTTCCTCTTTTCCAAAACCCTTAAAATCACCATATCTCTACGACTGAACCTTACCATTTCCACTTCTCTCGCACTCAAACGCACGCAGAAAAAATGGCCGCCGTTATAGCCCGATCAGTCCTGTCCGTCCGATCAACTGGTGCCACTGCTTCTCTTCTTCTCCAGAAACGCCTCTTCTCTTTACCTATTTCCAAACCCGGTTACATTCGTCCAGGAACCGGACCCGTTTCTTCCACACGCTCTGTCGCACCAGCTGCCTTATCCCACTCCCTGCAGGTTACTTCTCCTAACTTGACCCGGTACAACACGGTCAGATGCCGAGTCAATCGTTCCGGCTCTTCTTACTCGCCGCTGAACTCGGGGTCGAACTTTGGTGACCGCCCACCCACAGAAATGGCGCCGCTTTTCCCCGGATGTGATTATGAACACTGGCTTATTGTCATGGATAAGCCTGGTGGTGAAGGGGCGACTAAGCAGCAGATGATTGATTGTTATATTCAAACGCTTGCTAAAGTTGTTGGAAGGTTTAACTTTTATGCCTTCTTGATGTTGGATATTTCTTTATATTAATAGCCTGATATTCTTACTAAGTATATGATAATGTTCACATTTTGGGTAATGGAAATAATCTTCAGGCAAATTACATCTTTGTTTAAATTTTAATGCCTTCTTATCGTCGTTCTTTAACATTTTTGACTGTAAGGATTGTGATACTTTAAAAATATATATATATGTATCAACCATAACCATTTTGTTTTTAAAAAGTTGAAGCATTGTTACTCTTTTATTATTTTTATTCTTTATTATTTTTATTTTTTAGCCAAACACGCCATGAATAACTTTATCAAAGTTTGTTAGATTTTGGAAATTTGGTATCTTGCTGTGAAACACAGCGTCCTAGTTTCTAATAACCAGTTGGTTGGTTGAGAAAGGAAACTGTGAGACATGAAGTAATATGAATTTTCTTCTATGAAATGGATTTTATGATATTATATATTGTTGGATTCTGATTACCGGGTTATGGATTGTGTCTGGTGGTTTTAATAGTGAGGAGGAGGCTAAAAAGAAGATATATAATGTGTCATGTGAGAGGTACTTTGGATTTGGATGTGAGATTGATGAGGAGACCTCAAACAAGCTTGAAGGTTAGTTCTTGCCTATTGGCAAATGGCAATTGATTTTTTTCTTCTTCTTATGAATTTAGTTCAATTATTGATATGAATCAGACATATGATTAGGCTAAAACGGCTTTTTATATTGCTGTTTCAACTTTTTCCATTTTTGTGTAGGATTGCCTGGTGTTCTGTTTGTTCTTCCAGATTCTTATGTTGATGCTGAGAATAAGGACTATGGAGGTAATTCATCTTCTATGCGTTTCTTCCCGTCATAGAGGATTCTTATAATTTCTTTGTCGCTATGTCAGTGCTATTTGATTAACATACAACATGTGGGTTTGTTATGTTCATCCAATATGCGGTCCTGGCTTTTGATATTATGATATGTTTGCATTGTAATATTCATTCTAATTGTACCAAGTTGGCATCTGGTATATATACTGTGGCTGTGTCAATTATCATATAAACCTTATTTATTGTTAACTTTTATGAACTTCAATTTTCTAAAGTTTGAGTAAAATTCAAAACGGTAACTTCAGTTTAATAGAACAGGGCTTGGATATTCTGTTGTGAATTTCCATTTTCTCATTGAAGAGCTTTATATATTAATCTTTAGCATTTGAATTTAGCCCCTGTTTGATGGGGATTAAAATAAGATTTTGATAAAATTTCATGAAATGTGTGGTTGAAATGTGGATGTTTAGTAGATTTTGATGAATATGTGGTTAAAATTACTTTGTTGACTTTGACTTGGACTCTAGTGATGAGATTCATAATTTCCTAATTGTTTTTTACATGTATTTAATTTAAAATGTTTGCCACCTGTAGCTTGGTTCATTTAGTTAAGACTGAAAAGTTCTGACTGGACTTTCTGCAATCACTCAATGCCAGTGGGTTTTATTCAAGATATAATCGATGATGGAATGGAATATGCAATTTGTCAGTGTCCTTCCTAATATGGAATACTACTGGGTGGAAAATTATATTTGTTGGAGTATGCCTGTGTGTATTACTTAAACCTCTAAAACGACAAATAGTAACTCAAAATTTCTAATGGGAAGTTATTAAGATATATGGTGGAAGAACCACCCCTTCTGAATCGGATATGCTACATACCACTCTTTACCGATAGCTGCTCTTGGTACTATGGACAAGTAATGGGTTGCACTTTGTGTAGCAGAAAGTATTTCCATTTTCACTTATTTAACATAAGTCCTTTTATGATATCAGATTGATGGATCTGAATGTGATTTAATCAATCATTTTGCATTTTGTTAGTTGCAATACAAGAATGTTCGATCAAAATAAAAAGAATTCCAGCCAGGGTCCAGAACCTGTCAACCTTTTGATGATGCGGTCCATAACATTTTTTTTTTTTACCCTGGGTCCCTAACCTTTGAAACGGTTCAACCATTATCCTTAGCTGATGGAAATGCCAGTTTGACAATAACAAAATCAGTTATTTCTTAAAAAGACATTTGTGCACTTATTTTAAATTATAACAGAAGAATAACAATAAAGTAAAAAAATTAATAAATTCCAGTTCGGTTTAGATAAAAATCAAATTTTTAGTAAATTTTGATATTGATGGTATGTGTGGTTGAAAAATTTTGGGGTCCCGTGAAATGTGCGGAAAAATCAATGGTTGACATTGACTTAGATTTTAATTAGCTTTTTTAGTTGAACTAAATAGGGGCTAAGAGTAAGATTAGAAGAAAATAACTAAAGGAACCTCCGTCCCCCCCAACCCCCCCCACACAAAAAAATAAAAAAAACCCCCCCCCCCCCCCCCCCCCACCCCCAAAAAAAAAAAAAAAAAAAAAAAAAAAAATCCATACGCATCGACACTGTCCAAAAATGCTGTCACAACTCCACCATCCACTGCCACACCACTCACAAGCAGCTTGCCATTGACAGTTTGGGGATGGAAGCCTTAGATATCGAAGATCCCATGTTCCAACCCAATAAAAAAAAATCCCATAGTCACCGGATTTGTTTCGAAGTGTTTCGTCTATATCACTGTCCTGAAATTTGCGACTTCTTTGCTTTCATCATTTTAATTGTCCTCGTCCATGGTTGTTCGAAAAGGTTGCTGAGGCTTGCAGAGCTTTTAAGTTGAGTTCATATCGGGGGCTATTTTCTTCTGCGGATTTCTGATTCTTTCTTGTCATTCTATGTATATCTAGTCCAAATGCTTGATAAATTGGGTCGTCTTTTTTCTTAATTTTGTAAGCATATATTTGTTTGGCTAATGTCCTTGTTTAAAATTATATATGAAGAAGATGTAGATTTTAAGAAAATTGAAAATTGTGGCTTAAATTCATTTTCAGGTCATTGATGTACTGTATTTTGTATATAAAAGTTCTCAAGTGGTATTGTTTCAATGTTTACTTGTAAAAGAAAATTTGGACTACAAGTCATATTTGTAGCATATTTATATTGTCCTGAAAGTATTTTGAGCACCATTGCTGTTGAATTGAGTCTTGAAGTCAGGTTAGATATTAAAACATTACTATGTAACATAGCATTTGAAAGGATTTGTTTATATTTTCCTCTTGATACGAAGATTAAGAATGAGATATATTCTTAATATATTTTGAGTTTTTCATTGGTTCACCAGCTGAGCTGTTCGTGAATGGAGAGATAGTTCAAAGGTCACCCGAGAGACAAAGGAGAGTGGAGCCTGTACCTCAGAGAGCTCAAGACAGACCAAGATACAACGATCGAACTCGTTATGTGAGGCGCCGTGAAAATAGCAGATGAACAGTGAAAACGAGTCTATGCAGAGCCTAATTATATGATATTTGGAATGGGTTAACATCAAGGGGTTGTATGTTGATATTATTCTGTTGCTGGATTGTTGTGGACCTGTATGTCAATATTCTAAGTGAACTCTAACTATATGTCAAGAATGCTTGAGCCTGTTTTCTACTCTTGGAATCTTTAGTTTATAGAACTGTTTTCCATGGTGCAATCTACTCTTTGTCTGTAAGTTTTGATTCAGGGATGAATTTTTTGAAGTGATCTGGGAAAATGAATCAATAAATTTCTGATCAGTATATACCTTTGTAAAATTATCATCAGTAGTATCTAATCTGATATTTGCTTGCCTTAAAATTTGTTTCTGCTGATTGTATTTAGGTCATGTTTTGCAAGTTGAATTATGAACTCATCCCTGTATTTGATTAAAGAGGATGGAGTGCCTGGTCAGAGCATATCCTTAGCGGTATCTCCTTAGGTTTTGAACTGAAGTTGATGGAATTGAAAGCACATTGGTGAACACACGTGATTTTTGTAACATATTATCTTTTAATCTTGTCTAGTTTTGTCTATTCTTTTGGATAGCATAAGATTCAGGTGTCCAGAGAAAATCTAGAAGTGAAAAAATATAGAACTACTTGTATGGTTTTATCTAGATACTTTGGCAATCTATTTTCTGGGAAATTAGTCCTACCCTGTATGGTCCCTTTCTAGTTTATTAGTCTGGTTTAGCACTCTTTCTCTTTGAGCATTGAAATTCAGAGTTCGATGGCAGAACTAGAATAAGTTTAAGAGTGCTTAGTACTGTATCTTCAGTGTGGTTTAAATTGCAGTCAACAGGTCCATAGTAGTTTGTTCTTTACTGAAGAAATATTGGGAGTCTAACTAAAAGCACGAATATGGGAAAGGAGTGGCTACATTTTTACTCAGCATAATTTTTTTCGCATCTCATAACATTGAAGTTATTGGCCAACATTTCTCAAGTGAAGAAAAAAAGTTGTAGTCTTGTTCATTATGCTGTCTAATCCAACTTACTATTGCATATGGAATTGCCGAGGATGTTTCATTTATGTTTTTAGTGTTGCATCCCACATGGAGGCTGGAGCCCAACGTTTCTTGTTCTTAAATTTTGGAAACATAGGGTACGGAGAAATGATGAGACAGATTCATATGCAATATTATTTTACTATAAAAGAATTGCTTCTTCAATCCAGAATTATTGTTTGCCATAATGCATGATAAAAACGCTAGATGCCAAAATCCATAGAATGGGGCTGTTTGGTTTTTAGCACCTAAGGGACCCAGTAAAGACAGTAAATTTATTCAACACAAAGCTAGCAGGCAAAAGGGATAATCCGTTTTCTCGATCAGGCTATTTAGTTGGTTCTTCGCTTCTTGCCAAGTGCTACCATACAGAACGGATTATGTGTTTTGGACATCGGATTAGAAAGGATGGGTAAAGAGGCATCTATTATCCTTGCTAATGCTAATTCTGTGTAGTACAATTTTCATTTTTTATTAGGGAATCATCATAGTTAGTTTGCTTGGTTCTTCACTTCATACCACACAATTACCATGCAGAAAGTTTAAAAGATTTGGGATTGCAGCTGCAAATATCCTGAAACATATGTTCATTCAAATTTCAAAGTTAAAACCCTAAACTTTTGATGCGTCCAGTCCAATCCATTTTAATGCTATGCACCAAACATGTCCTAGACATTTCAATTTTCATTGTCCTTTAGTATTTTTGCACTGTTGACAGGGAAAACTCATGGTGTAGAATCATGTCCAAATCCTCTGAACCAATATTCAACATACCATGTGCTTGATGACCTACTATCAGGTAACAAATTTACCACATTTATCTATTCCATCACAAATTCATATGCAATATTACAATAAGAATTACTACTTCGTCTTCTTCTTCCATCCAGAAGAATTTGTTTGTTAATGAGGGCTATCTGTGCAATAAAACGCTAGAAGCCAAAATTTGTAGAATAAGACAAAGGGCAGTTTGGTTTTTAGAACCTAAGGGACCCTGAAAAAAAGTCATGGGGAAAAGTGTTGCATACCCTAACAGGCAAAAGGGATACTCACTTTGCTTGATTAGTGAATCAATAGTGTTTGTCTGGCTCTTTGCTTCATCCCAAACACTACCATACAAAATAGAAGGGGGTGATATTTTTTGTATGCTGGATTATAGTGAAACCGCGACATACGGAAAAAAAAAAAAATAATAAGGTGCAATGAGATCATTCAAATCTAAGCAGAGATACATTAGAGTTGCTCGTCTTAAATTTGGTGCAATGAGATCACTCACTATGATTTGCTTTCACATTATCAAGATCACTGGTTCTAGTTAAATGCTGGTAACAACGATCAAGCGTTTATTTATTCAACCAAATATTAAGAAATTGTTGAAATCGTCTTTTGGTTCAAAATAAATAACCATATTTTATTTGATCAACAAGCTTGTTGATTCAAATATAAAATCTAGTTTAGATAGAATGAATTTTTAAAACTCCAAGGTTCAAATTTTTATTCATGATAAACTAGCCAACATTGATGTTCTAGTTCTTGCTTCTAAAGAAAATGAGGAACCATCTTCGAATCAAGCTACATTAATAAGAATTAGACAAAATTAATATAAAGTGACGGTTCCATTTTATTATTTATTTATTTATTTATTATTATTATTATTTTTTTTGCATAATTCTGTTCAATATTATGTACTGAACAAAGTATGTTTAAAAATAGTATACCGATACATAGACATAACAATATCATCCCTGCTTCCTCGTAAAAGAATTACATGTTTTTACCCATCATTTTTAGGTCAGTTTTAACATATGGGTATATGATTCTATGCTATAAGACTGGACCAAATTATAGTTTAGGACTTTCTTGAAAGAGAACTAGGAGAATATTTCTCTAATATCTATGCTTAGAAAGTTTAATTAGTCAAAAAGTAGCTCTAGGTTAAATTTTATTATTATTTGTAAGTTTTTAAAGTGGAAAATAAGAAAGTTACTTATTTTGATAAAAGAAAGAAAGAAAAAGAAAGTTGGCTCATGAGTTGGCTTGACATCGAAAAAAGAAAATATTATTTTCAATTAAAAACACACACACACACACACACACACGTGTGAATTGTAAATGGCTTCACGAACCAACTTGGATCTTCCACCAATGGATGAGTGAGTCGAGCCGGAATTTTTGAAAATGAGTTGGTTTGCACTTGACTTATCCCATATACTGGCATTAGCTAGTTCGTGTGATAGGTTGATCCAAACTCGACGGTGAATAAGTCAAGTAGCTCAATTCGACCCTTTTAATGTCCCTAAAGATAGGCAACTATCATCAAATTCAGTTCCCTATTTTTAGAACATTTTGTCTGGTAATCAATGATATATGGCACACCTTTTAAGCTTCTAAACAATTTAAAGTAGCAATAGTATTTAATTAAACCAACTTGCTTATTCATCTAGCCTAAAAAGCAAATAGACTGAATATTTGGACCAGAGTAGGTATCCCAAGGATGGTAAATAAGCCTTTTCTCCAACTAATTTATCTTACCTAGGTATTTATTTAAAAAAAAAAAAAAAAGATTGAATCCCAACCTTTGAACTCCAATCTTGAGGGCCCCACCGTCCCGTCCCGTCCCGTCCCTAGAGCTTTGTGAAGAAGGTAAATAGCAGAATGTGTCCCAACAGGACAAAAAATAAGAGCTGAAACGTACACTGCGCCTACAAAAAGTCAAATATCATGTTTTAGGAATCGAAATTCCACACCTAGGTATTTATTTATTTGGTGTGCACATGTTACTACTTACCTATAATTTACACTACCCGTATGATATTCTTCTCGTCAAAGTTATCCTTCTCTCCCAAAAATTAAAAAAAATAAAATTGATTGATTTATAAATTGGAAATCAATGGATTTGAAAGCCGTATTTCGACCTAAGAAGAAACACAAGTCAACCGATTTAAAAAGTGCTTTTTCATTATTATTGACAAATAATTTGATATACCATTTTTTTGCAAATAAATTTATCTTATGCATAATTGTTTCCTTCGATTAAGAGCATGTTGAATATACTTACCTAAAAGTAAATTAAACTCAAATTTTAAGTTGCTTATTTTACGAATTTGATTTTTTGCATCTATACGGAGAAGGAAAAATAAAAAGAAGAATCAATGATTAATCCCAAAATTTTCAGCCTATGTTTCAAGCATCTTTATTCGCATGCCAATGCCAATTGTATAACACGCGCCACCACAAAGGCGTATTACAATGAATATAACTAAATACAAAACATTTTATTATAATTTGCATCATTAACAGCTAACACTAATCTTAATCACCGCCGTTTTTCTCGTCCTGCCCTTATTATTATTATTATGTACAATCATCTCCTTAAGGGGAAAAACTTCATTAGACTTACATTAGAATTCCATTAAAGAAACATTATGTTGACACTCGTCAAGTGACGGAGACCATGTGGGAGAAGATGCGAGCTTTAACTTGTGAAAGTACTCTTTGAAATTAATTTCAGTTCCATGTTTAACTTGCTCTTGCGTTAAACTTGTCTCGTCTCTTAATGGCAAAAATGGTGGTCGTACAACTTCCGTCAACAAATTCCAATTCAACCCGCGAAAGAACTCGTGCTCCTTAATCTCGCACGCCCCTCTCCGATACCCAAGGCGGCGCGTGGGTTCTTTTTCTAACAACTTTCTAATCAAGTCTGTTAATGGATTGGGCTTGCCAAAGAATTCCGGTTGGCCCAATAAGATTTTCTGAAATGTGGTTTTTCTGTTCTTCCCTTTAAACGGTGTCGTTCCATATAACATTTCGTAGCCTAGCACACCAAGAGCCCACCAATCAACGGCGAACTCATGGCCGGCGCCGCGTATAATCTCCGGAGCGACGTATTCCTCCGTGCCCACAAATGAATTAGACCGCTCATTCGCCGGAAAATCATCTGGCTTCTTTCGGCTAACCGGCGACACACGGGAACTTTTCACCTTCTTCAACCCTGTCTTGTTATTGTTGAATGCATGCTTTCCACTTTTCGAAATAATGAAGCGCGTGAATTTTCCAGCGAGATGAGTGTACTTTAAATTCGCTGGCGAATTTTCCTCCGGAGAAGTGTAATATTCCAGATTATCTGGTTTTCTCGGAGCTAGGTCAGTCGACAGGTCGAAATCCGTTAACATCACGTGGCCAGATTGTTGTACGAGGATGTTTTCCGGCTTCAAGTCCCGGTAAACAATGCCTTGTCTATGGAGTTGTTCCAAAGCACAAATGATTTCCGCTAAATAAAAGCGGATGACTGCCGGCGAGAAGACGCGGTCGTTTTGGCTGTACCGTAGCACGTTGAGGTCACCGCCGGGGCAAAACGGGATGGCCCAGCAAATGATTTCATGATTTTCAAACGATCCAAAGAGGTACGGAAGAAAAGGGTGGTTGTGGAGGCGGCTGAGGACGGAGATTTCGTGGCCGGCGCGGCCGTAAGTGTGGCGGAGAGAAGATTTCTCCACCACCTTGAGGGCGAAGGGGCAGCGGGCCAAGGGGTCATTTGACTTGTGATGGACGAGGAATACCGTGCCCATAGCACCTTTGCCCAGTAATTTTATGGCTTGCAGGTTGTCCAAATCTAACAACTCCGGCGGCGGCGGAGCTGTATAGGTGGCCATTGCAATTTTTGGGAGATAAGAGAGAATGTAAGTGGGTAGATGTGTTTGACAGAGAGGAGGTATATATACACGCACATGCAATGGCACACGAGGTGATCATAGAGAACAGAGAGGAATGGCAAGTTTTGGTTATGCTTGAAATCAAGTAAAAGTTGCTTATAAGTTATTTCTAGTCCATGGCAATTAAAATTAGAAAAAAAAATGCATTTTTGATCTTTAAAAACTAGCAAGTTAGTTCATAAAAAAAGTTGAACCCCAACCTTGAGGGCCTTCACCGTTCCATCTCTAGAACTTTGTGAGGGAGGTAAATCGTGGGATGTGCCCCAACAAGTTAGAGAACAAGAGCTGCTTGTACATTGCGCCTACAAAGAGTCCAATTTCATGTCTCAGAAATGAAACCCCTACACTACGACTGCCAGTAAGGCATAAAATAACTTCATTACTGTCCTTTGCACCACTGGACTATGCCCCGAGGCACTAGCTAGTTAGTTCATAAGTTGGCGATATAGTTGTGTAAGTATAATTGTTCTTCTATTAAGAGCATGTTTGACAATCATTACGGTAGAAAAAATGAGTTTTAAATAGTGATTTTTATAAGAATGTATATCTAAAAGTAAGAAAAAAATTTGGTGTACAATATTTTGTTTTGTGAATGTATAGTTGTAAATGAATTTTTAGCAAACCATAAAATAAAATAAGGGGTGTCAAACATGCACAAAATACTCACCGACTCACATAATCAACTTATGTTCGATTTTGTATTCAAACTTGATTTGACATCTAAATTTGTAATAAATCATATTTTTATGAAGGTCTAGTTGTGATTGAACGAAATTTGGATAGTTTACCCCTCCATTTTTAAAATTCAATTTTCAATGAACCCATTTTTAATCACATATTTAATGGTATCCACAAATTTTATCAATTTTTTAATTACACATTTCATTAACTTTTATCAAAATATGCTAAAATACTAATTTTTAGATAAATCAAAGTGTAATTATGTTTGTGCAATTATAAGAAAATATTGGAAACTAACTTTCTTCTTTTTAAAGAATAAGGACTATCTTGCCACTTGAGCAATAAGTTGGGGAGAATTGGTGAAATTTTTATGCTCGAATTCTACTCATTGACAAATAAGTCTTTTATTTTATTTTATTGGAATGATTTCTTGTATTATTGTCGATGTATTTAAATCTTGCACGTGGGTTGCACACGTGTTGATTTTTTTATTATAAATTTATTAGGTTTCTTACTTGCAAGACATGAAGTTTGACATTTGCAAAAGTTCAATTAATTACAACTCATCATCTTAAATGTGTCAAGGTTTTTTTAAACTGATGAATCGTGCGTAGTATTATTTAACGGAGTGAATTAAATCTCCAATCTCAATCACTAATGTTTAAAATTGATTTCGTTTGTTAAGATACAGAGATTGATTGAATATGTTATGCTTCCCCTTATGAGATTGATCATGTGAAAGCCAACAGCGAATTCGCCAATAGTGGTAGCCAGCTAAACAAAAGGTTACGGAAGGCCACACTCAACTTCGCATCACCTCTTACAAATCATTCTTTTGAGACGATTACGTTATGCTTTTAGATGCATCAAAATATTATAATTAAAATAATTAACAAAAAAGTCCCTATCATTTACATTCATTGCTAAAATAGTTTCTATTGTTTTAAATTTTACATTTGCACCCTTATTTCAAACCTTTATTGTAGAATTGATCATTTCCGTTATGTTCCATTAATTCAACAGTGAAATAAATGCATGGAATTCACTCTATTATTTGAAAAGAGTATATTAATCAAGTCCCCAAATTGAACAAACCAAACCCAAACTTCACTTTCCAAAATCTTCCAAAAGGAAGAAGCAACTCTTTGAACACATTCCACTGCCACCTTCCTAATGCCATTCCGACACCAGCAACTACAATGTTGAAGCTCATAAGTTTTATTTTCAATTTCTAAAATGGGTAGTGGTTTTTGTAAATTGATTTTACTCAAGCAACCCATTCCAAGATGAGGATTGCTACCCAATCAACGATCATAGCATAGATTATATCATTTGAAGTGCCCTTTTGGTCATGTCAATTTATTTTGTATTTTTCCATCTGGATATGTATGATGGTTGATGACATTGTTGGTTATCATGGTATCTACGCTGGAAAATCTATGTTTTGTTTCAGATATAATTTTGACCTCTTATCCTGTTTCAAATTTGGATTTTAAAAAAAAAAAAATGACAATGGTGTAGATTGAGAATGGAGAAAATTGGAGTTGGTTTTCGACATTGCTGAGAGATGACTTGAGGATTCTTAACCCCATGGATGGACATTCATTTCAAACAAATAGAAAAGGCAGTGGAGATACCAAAATATTTTTTTGATTGCTGCAGCCATTTTTGTAGATCTTACAATTTTTGTCTAATAGCTCAATGCAAGATACATAATAGGCAGTTTAGCGTATCAGAAATATTGAGATCATGTTTGGTTGGTTAACAATGTAATTATCTATTGTGTAGTAGGTTCTTTTTACTATGGTATTTTGTAGGTTAATATTGAGAACTTGTACTACATAGCTTCTCCATGATTATTTGGGTTCTCATAGCTTCTCCATGATTATTTGGGCTAAATGGTTAAAGGTTTAGGGATGAATGGATGATATTTGATGACAACGTTTTGAGCTTACATTAAACCATGAGAATGATATTCACCAAAAACTTTTAGACAGGTAAAAATGTAGTGATTTGATCAATATACCCCTTTGAAATAATGTAAGTGAATTTCATGCATTTATTTAATGTGATGAAAAGGACCATTTTCATAAGATATGTTTGAAATGAGGGTGCAAGTGTCAAATTTGAAATGATAGGACTATTTTAGCGATGAATGCAAATGGTAGGGACGTTTTTTACTAATTACTCTTGTAATTATTAGAAGCGACGCAAAAGCGTTGCCCAATTAGATCACCACTTTTCAGACAATGTTCAAGAATAAGCTATCGACTGACACAATTAAACTTGACAAGTGAACTATCAGGACGATGTCACCTATTAAATATTTAGAGGGAATCTCTTTGACCTATCTCTTTACATATAAATACTCGATCCTCTCCCAAAAAAGGTAACTAAACACACAATACGTGTAAACTAAAACCCCACATTCATATTTTCGTCCATTATCTCTATCCCACACTTTATATACTTCATCATCTAACTTGAGTGTCAGAGCGCACACGACCGTCAAATCCGTTGGAGTTATGGTCCGTGCAGTCTAACCACACTATCTAAGGGAGCAAGTAACATACGCATGGACTAAAGAGGAGCTAGATTCGTTGACAGTTGAGTTTCATAAAATTTGGAGGTTCAACAAAATAAATACATAAGAGAATTTGTCTAATTAGTCTCAAATGTATAGGGTTCACGATGAGGGTTGGGGAGAGGAAATTGACATTTTTAAAATTGTAGGTTCAATTTTTCATCTGTAAATCCTAAAGATCCATTGAAATATTTTAGTGTTAGGTAATACCAAGAAAGTAGATTACATTTATAATTAGATCATTACAATCGTGAGTTGCCATCATGTTAGGTATTTATGTAGTGCTGGTGGATCAAACACTTTTACTCATAATTTCTCTTCATTATTTAATCATTAACTTGAGAGGGTTTACTATGACCTGCCATCTATTTTTGACATATACTCTTCTTTCTTTTCAAGAAAAATTTTAAAATAAAATAAAATTGTATTTGACACTGGGTGAGATAGATGCATAAAGGATCATTAGTATTTAGATTAATTATGTTCGAACTATCTACCAAATACGATATATAATGTTATGTTAGAGTCAGACTATACAATCTATTTCAAAGATATGAGTGCTACAGCCCGTTGCACCAAAAAGATGGGCTAATGACACATTCTATCTCAAACTAGTCGTTATAATCTGAATTTACTTAGATTTAAATGTGAAATGTAGTTCTATCTCAGTTTCATACTTAGAGAGGTAGAGAAGAAACTCGTCATTTAAAATATTCCTCATCCCCATCATTTACCAAAGCATGTAAAATACTTCTACATCTACACTTTTCATGTACCATTTCACTACGTGTGAATATCTTTAACTTAAGACTTATTCTATAAAGTAGGGTATATAGTAATAAGTATTGTTAAAAAAGAAAAAAATAAGTAATAAAATATGTCAGCCATGTACCTAAATGTCACAATCCAACATCTTAGTAAAATTTAGAGAAAAAATGTAATTAAAACAAAAAGGAAAAGAATATTCAAGGAGCTATTCTAAGCATTCTTTCTTAATCGAAAAGGTCTACTACAATCTTCAAGAAGTCTTCATCGACTTCTTCAATGGGACACAAGAAAATAGGAATTGAACTGCGATCTGCATGTGCAAGGTGCGGTCCAAACAATCAAAATAATGTAAGCGTTGGTAGAACCAAAATATACTAGTTTTTGCCTATTACCAATTTCACACAATATTTGGAGTATACTAGAATATCAAATGTGACACTTTACAGATGTTGGCATCTCCTTATTGAATAATTAATACTTTGTAAAAGTATAATAGACTAAAAAATCACATAATTTCTAACTTTAAGTAGCAAGAAATCTTGAAAAATAATTTTAATTAGGTCGATTTTTAAGCCTCTCTTCAACATAATTGCCCCACTTTGATTTCTTAAACCCAAAATATACTTTTCAAGTTTCACATAATGCGTTCTTGTCTGCCATCATTTGGGACGAAAAATTGCAACTTTTCACCAAAGAATGTTCAAAGTGAAAGGCAAGAAAGAAGAAATATATATAGGTTAAATTCATTTACGGTTCCCAATCTTTTATAAGTGCGTAAGCTATGTCTTCGACTTTTTATTTGTGACACACATGTCCTCAATCTTTTAAGACTACGTGGGAGATATTCTCATCTAACCGAAAAAATTTATTTAGACGTTGAATGACCACACGACAAGCTTGTGATATCTGACTTAAGGTAAAATTGTTCAAAGAATGACATTAAATATAACTTGAATAGTCAATGCTTAAAATTTTGAATGGTAATTATATTAATGCCATATTTTAATTATCATAAAAGTTCTCAATATTTGCTCATTAGTACTTATGTCCTCAATTATTGCATTCTTATCCTTAATCTTCAATTAATCAGCATATCCTATCTTAATAATGGTTTTATCCAAATATCCTGTTACTATGCTTTGAAATGATGGCCAATTTTTTGTCAAACTTTTATATTTGTTTATTTTTACTTATTTAAAAATGAGGGATGATTTTTTTTTAATGCATTTTTAAAGGATTTTTTTGGACGAAGTCACGAAACTGTATTTAGAACTTGTTTGGAAGTAATTTTGAGAATTGATTTTTTGACCGTTAGGAGAAAAGTGGAGTCCACTTGTGAGAAGAAGTCAAATATGAAGACTGAAATAGTGAAATAACGGTCAAAAAATTAATTTTTTTGGCTAAAAAATCACTCCCAAACAGGCTGTTAGTAACAATATGTACTAATAAATGAAAAGTTGAGGATAAGAATGCAACGGAAAAAAGTAAGAGATATAAATGTAGCAATAAGTAAAAATTAGGAACCTTCATTGCAATTAAGATGTGGTGTAATAAACAAAATATGTGAATACAACTATCCTTTCGAAATAAAGAAAATCTATTTTTTTGTACAATTTTACTCTTTCAATGCGTGGCCCCCGTAAATTTAATGTCACGTTAAGTAAGGATATTTTGAGCACAATGTTAAAATGTTAAGGACATGAGTACTACAAATGAAAGTTGAAGATATATCTGCTATACTTATGAAAGGTTGAGGACTTCATGAGGAATTTATCCATACACACACACACACTCCACTCATTGTGAAGGTTGGGAACCTGTGACTTTTGAACAAAAAGTTTTGCATATTTTGATGATGCCTCGTCGCTGTCGGCCATATATTTACCAGTGAAAAGCAGCCATTAGAATGATTGATATGAAATTATAGTTAAATTTGAAGGTAACTTATATTAATTCTCCACTTAAGTTATACTAATTTTAATTTTTGGAATACAATCCTCCTAGAATAATTATGGATACTAAGAAGAAAATTTGTGTTGTGGTCATTTTCTTGTGCATCTAAAGCATTTTCTGTAAGAGAATAAGATATCACCATACAATATTAAGAAATAAATGAATTTTTTTTATACTTGTTGAGCACCAATTATAATAAATTCAGCAATTAATGCAGAAATATGGGAGAAAAACGAGGGGCTAATTATAATAAATTCAAATCTCACACTTTTACATCAACAACCGGATGATTGTCACATCGCATTACATTGATATTTGAGGATGCACTAGATCCCAACAAACGGAGATGATTGGTTGAAAATTCTAGAAAATAGACATCAAGTAGAGTTTTAGTAGAAGATAAAGTGGTTTGCAATCTTTCTTATTTCGAGACAGTGCTGAACATTGTAGGATACAAGGCGCAGCATAAAATATATCAATTCTATGACTTGAAATGAATTTAAAGAGTTGTTCCATGACAAATATTTTATAGCTTTAGTCCATGCCAAAAAAATTTATTAGTTATATTGTGTAGTTTAATCTAATGTTGTATATCAAATATGTTCGATAGCATATCTATGAAATGAATGAAATATAGTTGAATGAAGTGAAGTATTTGCCTATGACAGTTAGGTTAAGATGCATTTCGTTTTGCATTGCTTCGAGCATGAACTGCAACATGTATTAAACACAAATGTCATTTGTTTGACCGAACAATCTATAGTAGAACAAGTTTGTTAGGTCTAAAAGTGTAATTGGCGATTCTATGGACAAAACTAACTAAATTGTATAATTGTAAATGCCAGGGACTTAATTGAACATTGGTGTAAAAGTTAGGGACTTAGGGTGCAATTTGTGTAGATGAGGTAAATTAGTGTTCGAGTCATTGAAGGAGTCCAAGATGTTCAAGAAGATCACACAAGATCATCGGAATGCAATTGGAAGTCTAAAGGATATCAAAGAGTCGCATAAATTATGTTCTGGATTTTCAATCATAACTTGAAACGTATTTTTCACATGGAAAACGTTGGAATTTGGACAAGCCTATTTCTAGAAGAATTGTATCCGTTTGAGTTATCTTTCCAATTGAACTTGAATCACCTCAATCAAATATCAGAAGAGAAAGTTATGATGAAAATACTGACAACTACTCATTGTCGCTTGCTTCTCGCTAGCATTTCGCTCGAGTGAAAAAATAGAATACCTCTCGCTCGATTCTCGTTGGCTCTCGCTTGAGCGACACTCCTATGTGGCAAAAACCCTATTTCGCATTTTTGAAGTGTTTTACTTGACTCATACCACCTAGACAACTTCAAATATAAATACTTAAGCCCTATGATGAAATTGAACATTATTCTTTCATTGCAAAAGATATTCATAACATCTTTGAAGAGATCCAAGGTGAAATTAATTGGAGATTTCATCTACATCAATCTTGTGATTCGGCAACCATTGTTTCGGGTAAAAACATTGAATCTACATAACCCAAAACATCTTACTTCTTTAATTTATTGAGGAAGGGACTCACTCATTGGAGGATTGAGAGAGGTAGATTAAGGCGCAGTTACAAGCACAAGAACAGATGGTTCTTGGTAATAAAATTAGCTAAGGACCAAGAGATTGTAGTGGACAGCAGATTGGGCTGCAGGAGATAGATCAGGAAGTCTAGCAAGAGGCTAGAAATATCTACAACATTAGATCATGAGACTGGAACAACGGATTTGATTGGGTACGGAGTTTGGTATAACTTGTACTTGTTGAATTGGTATAGTGAAGGTAATTGGCTTGGTCCTAGAGTTTTACCCACGTTGGGGTTTCTCCATCATCATATCGTGAGTTGTGTTTTGTATTATTTTATTTACTTTACGCAAACTAGCAGTTCAACATAGGAATTAACTGGACTGTATATTTAATCACCTAGACAATTAATTAAAGTGACGTGTTGCTTTGATTAATCAATTCCGCAATGAGGTCGAATAATAAATTGATTGGAACGTAAGTTTGGTGATATCTAAAACTTGAATTTGACGTAACATAACGTTCTTCGTGAATTTCTAAGTGGTTGTAGAACTTTCCCTGAACTTTCAAGTGGAATCAGAGCCTAAGTGCAAATCTTGACCTTACATTAGTCTAGATGAGTATATCGTTGAATGTGCCACCCCACTTTGATGGTAATAATTATGCGTATTGGAAGGTGAGAATGAGGGCGTTTTTGAAATCCTTAGATGAGCGTGGTTGGCAGATTGTGGTAAATGGTTGGTCAGTCCCTAGTACCACAATAGATGGTGTAGTCACTCCCACCCCTGTCGAGAACTGGTCTAGAGCTCAATTGGATAGCTGTAATTTAAATAGCAAAGCCCTCCATGCCATATTTATGGCAGTTTCCCTCGAGGAATTTAGGAAAGTGTCCATGTGTGAGGTAACAAAGGAAGTTTGGGATATTTTAGAAACCACACATGAGGGAAATCAGGCAGTTAAGAGTTATAAGCTGCAGATGTTGGCCACTAGGTTTGAAGAGATAAGAATGAGAGACGATGAGATGTTTGATGTCTTTTATGCGAGCTTAAATGACATAGTAAATTCGTCTTTCAATCTAGGTAAGAAAATCCCTGAACCTAAGATAGTGAGAAAGATTCTTAGATCCTTACCTGAGCGTTTTAGGCCTAAAGTCACGGCAATTGAGGAGAGTAAGGACATAGACACTATCAAGGTAGAGGAGTTAGTTGGATTCCTCCAGACCTATGAATTGACTTTAGACAATCCCGCTAAAGAAAAATTCATAGCCTTGAAAATCGATAGGAATATCCGGATGGAATCTTCTGATTCTGATTCACCCAATGATGAGGAGATGGCCTACCTAACTAAAAAATTTTGAAAAATATTTAAGAATAAGAAGAAGCCTCAAGAGAGACAAAGAGGTGGCCCGAGTAAATCTAGGAAGAAATCCAAATCCGTGAGATGCCATAACTGTCGCGGTTTTGGTCATGTGAGAAATGAGTGCCCTAGTGCTAAGAGATTTGAAGAGAAGGCTATGAATACTACTCTCACTGATGACGAGTCTAGCTCGGACAATCAGATTAAGAAATCCACCCATGAGGAGAGTGGAAAATATGTGGCCTTCGTTGCAAGGGATAAAAGTGGATCCGAAGAGCGGAGTGATAGGGAAGAGGACTTAGATAATAGTGAAGAATTTGGTGATGAGAGTGGAAGTGAGCAAGATCTAGAAACAACCTATGATAGGATGTATGAGGAAAGCCTTAAGATCTTAGCTGCTAACCAGGCAATGAACAAGAATGTGAAGGGGCTTAGACTAGAGAAGGAACAGTTAGAAGCTCAGGTTAGTGATCTCACCAGTAAGAATGAGATGTCCTCTAGGAGAGTAAGTGAGCTAACTATTGTGAATGAAACCTCAGCTATTCAGGTTAAACACCTTGAGAGTGAGCTAGAATTGTCTAGGTATCAGTTACTTGCCTTTTCTAGCAGTTCTGAAAAGCTAGATAATATTCTAGGTATAGGCAAGCCGGCTGGTGATAGGGGAGGTCTAGGTTTTGATCTGAATGTTGCTAGTACATCACAAACCACCTTTGTTCATGCTACTGACTAGCCAAACATTGTGACTAACCCCATACCAAATGTTGTGGGAATTTCAGGACCTAGGTCTACCAGACGTCGTAGGACCCGTCGGCCTAGGAATAGAAATCAGCGTAAGCATATCATGGGTCCTAGGTTTGTCCCTACATGTTTTTACTGTGGGGAGTTAGGTCACATCCGCCCTAGATGTCATCAGTATCTGAACAATAGGAAAGATTTGAGCCTGAAAAGGAACAAAAATCATGTGTCTGTTTGTCAGATTGGATTCCTTGCTGATCAAGTGAATCGTTTAACTCAATTGATGACACAGCTGTTTGGAAACAATCCCTGTTCTAGACAGATTTGGGTGAAGAAAAACGATCTCCCAAATTTGGTTAGAGATCACGGTGCTCTTAAAGGAAAGAGCATTTATATACATAATTGATCAGGTATTTTTGATGCATGCTTGGTTCTTGATTGATATATAATTATTGCATGCATCACGTGTATATTATTTGTTTGTTTTATTGTTTTTCATGTATGTGCATTTTCACCTACGAGTTTTGGCGCATGCATAATTATTTTTGTCTTTGTGTACTTGACGTTATTTTATTTTGTATGTGTAGTATTCATTTTAGGAAAAATGAAAAACACAAAAACATTGAAAATTTGAAAAAGACAAAAATAGTTGGTTATGAAAATTTCTACAGCATGACACATGACTTTGAGCTGACGCGTTGTATCATGTAGGAGCTATAATTGATAAGTTGTAGAATAATTTCCATTGTTTGGTTAGGTCTAGTTGGATTAATTTGTATAAGTGTCTTCATGTATCATCCGCATTGCACACACTATGAACTTATTCGTGGGACTCTACTGCGTGTGTGAGATTTGGAATGGCTGTCACATGTTGATGGGGGTGACTTTGAACATGAATTGACCATATTTTTGTAGACCTTAACCCAAAAGTTTCCCTCAATTTTAAATGCTTATATCTTAATGTTCTTTTTCGGGGCTTACTTGACTCGAACAATTAAGTCTGTGGAGTCTCTTAAAATCTGGTGCCTATGGTCAACTGACTTGGTTTAACCAGCCTAAAACTCGTTACATGGGTCATCTTAGTCGCCTAATGGAGAAGAACTTGCACTTAAGACGAAAAATTAACGAGCTGGAGAAATGAGAAAAATATGAAAAATATAACGAGTTGAAATACTTTGAAATTTTGAAAAACAAATAAGCTCATGGTGAGGGAGAGATAAGTAAAAATAATAAGTATATGTCCTACTACACGTTACATGGTTTGACTCTCATTAGTAGAAGAACATACTTATTAGCAGTGATTGGCGTGTCCCTTCTCACAAAATTAAGGTTCGGAGTCTGCTTGCATTGGATCAGTGACACTTTACACACATGGGTCACTTATATTATTACTCCATTCTGGACTGAACTAAGTATGTAGGGAATTATGCTACTTGTTAATTTTACTTTTGCATGCTATCAACTGTATTTTTAAGTTATTATGTGTTATTTGCTCAATTTGTTCTTAATATGATTCTCTTCAGCATTTGTGACAAAAACAGGAGAGCAAAGTATAACTGAGGGAGAGAAGGGAGAGAAAAAAAAAACATGTAAAAGAGCATACATATAGGGGGAAAGCTACTACATTCACATGATTTTATTTATTGACATTACTTGCATTGCATTGCTATATTTAGGGGTCGTTAGGGAGAGATATAGATACATTTACCTACTACATAAAAACATGCATGCTTGCAGTAAGGGGAGCGTTGCATTGCATTCCATATCACATCCATCTATTTGAGTTTTGCTGTTTAGTGGTGTTGGTGTCTTGGTTGGTGTTTTGATTGACATCAATATCACGTCTCAAACTGTTATGTTGATTTGTGATTAAGAGTTTTAATTAATTTTTATACTTTCTGTATCATGTACTTTTACACTGGGTATATGAGTTTGTGAATTTCAGGAAACAGGTACACGAAGGAATGCAAGACTCAGTGATTGAGTTTATTGGGTAGTTTAGTTTTTGGTTGTCAAGTCCTGACTTATTTTTTTTATTGTCTTAACTTCATTTGTAGAGTTTTGTCACAGAATGCCAAAGAAGGAATTTGTTAGATCTAAAAGTGTAATTGGTGATTCTGTGGACAAAACGGACTAAATTGTATAATTGTAAAAGTCGGGGACTTAATTGAACGTTGGCATAAACGTCAAGGACTTATGGTGCAATTTGTATAGATGAGATAAATTAGTGTTCAAGTCATTGAAGGAGTCCAAGATGTCCAAGAAGATCGAAATGCAATTGGAAGTCTAAATGATATCAAAGAGCCGAACAAATTATGTTCCGAATTTTCAGTCATAATTTGAAACACATTTTTCACATAGAAAACGTTGGAATTTGGATAAGGCTATTTCTAGAAGAATTGTATCTCTTTGAGTTATCTTTCCAACACAACTTGAATCACCTCAATCGGATATTGAAAGAGAAAGTTATGATAAAAATACTGACGAATGCTCACTGTCGCTTGCTTCTTGCTGGCATTTCGCTCGAGCGAAAAAAAAAACAAAATACCTCTCGCTCTATTCTCACTGGCTCTCGCTCGAGCGACACTCCTATGTGGTAAAAACCCTATTTCTCATTTTTGAAGTGTTTTACTCGGTCCATACTACATAGACACCTTCAAATATAAATACTCAAGCCCTAGAACGAAATTGAAGAGGTTGCGACATTATTCTTTCATTGCAAAAGATATTCATAACATCTTTGAAGAGATCCAAGGTGCAATTAATTGGAGATTTCATCTACATCAATCTTGTGATCCGGCAACCATTGTTTTGGATAAAAACATTGAATTTACATAACCCAAAACACCTTACTTCCTTATTCTATTTGAGGAAGGGACTCTCTCATTGGAGGATTGAGAAATGTGGATTAAGGCGCAGTTACAAGCACAAGAACATATGGTTCTTGGTGTTCCACTTGGTGATACAATCAGCTAAGGACCAGGAGGTTGAAGTGGATAGCAGATTAGGCTGCAGGAGGTAGATCAGGAAGTCTAGCAAGAGGCTAGAAGTATCTACAGCAGTAGATCGTGAGACTGGAACAACGGGTCTAATTGGGTACGGAGTTTGGTATAATTAGTACTTGCTGAATTGGTATAGTGGAGGTCACTGGCTTGGTCCCGAAATTTTACCCACGTTGGGGTTTCTCCGTCATCATATCGTGAGTTGTGTTTTGTATTATTTTATTTACTTTACGCAAACCGATAGTTCAACATAGGAATTAACTGGACTATATGTTTAATCACCTAGACAATTAATTAAAGTGACGTGTTGCTTTGATTAATCAATTCCGCAGTGAGATCGAATAATAAATTGATTGGAACGTAAGCTTGGTAATATCTAAAACTTGAATTTGACGTAACATAACGTTTTTCGTGAATTTCCAAGTGGTTGTAGAACGTTCCCTGAACTTTCAAAGTTAAAGGAGACCAGGATGAGACAATTATAGAGTATATACAACCCAAGCGGTGTGATTAAGAATTTGGACGAGCATGAATTGCCTATGATGAAGCGACCTTGGCAACATCAAGTTCAATTTGTGCAAGCCATAGAGAAATGTCGTACCAAAGGACGTCACTCCAATAACGTCCTATAGTAGGGACAATATCTATTATTGTTGAATGTAGATTATATGATGAAAATTGAGGGAACACGAGAGACAATCAATGACATAGGATATGTATTTGATTAATCGTGAGTTTTATCAATTTCGTTATGTATTATGTATTAGGATATTAATCATTGTTCAAGATGCTTTTTACAAAATAAAGTGAAGATGCGAGATTCATAATGACCCATTATAAGTAGGAAACTAAAAAAAAAAAAATTCGATTTAGAATAGACAACCGCAATCATAGAAGAATTTCAAATCAAAATCCATACACAAAGGTTGCAGGTTTTTTAAAATGAAAAGTGTAGTTCGAAGAACTGTCCGTTGCCGGTCGTCTATAAGTGGAGACTAGCGTTGCGGCTTACCTGTTTGCAAAAACTAGAGCATTAAGCTATTAGAAATTTAAAAAAAAAAATACTATTTAAATATACTTGTTTTGATACCAAAATTAAAATTTAATAATAATAATTTAGTGAGTTGGATATTCTTAATTTTAGGATGAACATGCATGCCACGACCCTCAGCATTGCCAAACATGAGTAACCCGGTAGAAGTCTTTCTAATTGTTGAAAGGAAACAAAAGTGAAAATCGAAAAAAATGAAATGTGACACGACAAGATACAAAAATAGTTATTTTGGGAAAATGTAGAACATGAAACACAATGAAAAATTATTGCTAATTTATTTTATAAATTTAATATTTCATTTTGAAAAACTATTATTTGTACTAAGTAATAAAAATTACCACGAACATAAATTATACACAATATTATCTTAAAAACTATCAATGCTCAAATCGTTTATGTAGTTTACTGATAAAAGATTGAAAATATAAACTAAATAATATCCTTAATATGCACTTAAATAAAGTTTGAAACAAATAATTGTTCTTTATTTCACATTCTCTTTGATGGAAGTTCAATCGAAAAATATAAAAATTTCAAGTAGAAATGAATTGGAGCACAAATAATTAATAAATTAGGTTTATCTTAAAACCTAACATGTTAATTCTTTTATTACATATAAATAATTAAGGTATTCGTAGAGTTTTTAAAAATTTTGATGCCTAGTCATGTCAAGCTACAACGATAGACTTGTTTGATTTGCAATAGCTGCTGAACAGAGTAACTGTTAAATTTAAGGCCACCATAATTTCCGGTGGAAACTGACTTCTCCATAAACAAGGAAACTACTTAAAAAGATGTAATGTTGAAATAATTGTCCGAAGATCTAACTTTGTTACCTACCCCTGTGGTCGAGTTAATTCATGCAGGTGATGAAGTACATTCTCTATTTTTCGCTATCTTAGCTTGCAACCTCTGCATGAACTTTGGATTAGCTTTAAGTCTCTCTTTGATGATTGAAGTTCCAGCGTCCTCCACCAGTTTCCGAGCTTTACCGGCCTCCTCAATCAACGCAAATAGAGTCCGGAGGCAATCCTTTCTGTTCTCCTCCCGGTGTTCAAACCTGAGTAGAGAACATAATGTTAAAAATAGACAAAAATGTACAGCTTGATAATGCAGAATTGAGGAATAGCCCAAATTCCACAAAGCTGTCAGCAATTAAAAGATACAATTGAAGACTATGGCTGATATTACTTAGTTCAATTAAACTTTATAATTATCCAAAATAAGAGGAAGTTCCATAGACGAGAATCGGATGCTACATAATTTTACAAGATGTTTAAGCATTATTATAGTCAGTCATTGATGAGAAGAAGCATCACAATATCTACAACTGAGTTACCTCTCACTGGTTATGGTAAGTTCATCTTTTCCTGGATTGTATCGGTTTCCTGCTAATTCTCTTAATCGGCAGAATTGATGCTTTGACAGACCTAGCTCTTTGACAGTAACAGCCAATTTTACTTTTCTATTTTTCGGGTGCCATGCATCACCACCAGGAGCAAAGACCACACGTGTTTGCCACCTAAGAATTGGGCCCTCACCTGGTGGGTCATCAAGATCTTTTTTCTTATCGGGCATAGCAGTCTCATCAAACTGCTTAGGAGCCTCAGCCTCCATCAGCTTAGCACATTCCAATACCATTTGGTCTTCAAACTCCTTAAACAATGCATAGCCTTCTTCAACTTCAAGTTCACCTTTCTCAATCCTATTTGCTATCTCCTCAAACTTCTTTTCCACCTTCTTTTTTATCTTGTCTGAGAAATGTTAAATGATAAAAGTCAACTCAAATTATAAACAGAATCTGAGAACTATTGGAAAAAATTACCAAAATGTTTGTTAGAGGAAAGATGTGCATGTAATGATCCCTGAAATTGTATCACTATGCTACAACCCACAATGTCAAATGCATATATCATTATCATTTCAAACATACTAATCTAGCAAGTTAAAAGATGAAATTAGGGACTTTGAAAATTTAGGACAAGTAAATAAGTTTAGATTAAAGATTGCATGGGAAAGTTTCGTTTGGTCTCAGATTTCAATTATATCACAGGTAACACCATAGGCACATATACAAAAGCCAATTATATAGCAATATAGAGAAACTTCAGTAGCAAGCAAAATCTTATTAGTTAGAGGACAATTACTAAAAACCCATCTGCAGTGTTCCTCATTTTCTTGAGGCTGTTTTGTAATTTATTATGTGTTTTAAGTTCATAAAATGTAGTAATGGAGGTATTTTCATGTATCCTGGAATTAAAACAGAAAAATAGGTAGAACATAACTTTTCACACGAGAAGATGGTCAAATAGACCAAAAGATATATAAAAAATATATTCAGTTTACATCAACATTATAACTCAAGAAAAAAGAGCTATAATGCAAAGGTGCAAGAGAAGAAGAATGGAAGTAAGATTGACATGTCCGAAAAATCAAAGCCTTTTGAAAGTGCAAAATGGTTTTTGATCAATCCAAAAACCGCCATGAAAGATGAAATCAAAGAAAGTTTCTGAATGCGCAAAAAGTAGGAGAAATATTACCAGGTAGAAGTTTGTCCCAGTTAAGCATGTCCTCTAGTATTGCCTCGCATTCCCTAGTATCCTTCAGATGCCCATGTTCGACAGCTTCTGCAATCATGTCATCCCACTTCTTGTCATCCATATTAAAGTAAGGATCACCTGCCATTTTCTTCACCACAATCTCCCTTGCATTGTACAAATCATCAATCTCTTCATCCGTTTCATGACCATCCTCAAAATCTGATTCAAAGTCTTGGTCTTTAACGTTATCTATAGGCTGCATTTGAAGGTCATCCATCAGTTCATCATCTGTGTCATCATGCTTATTAGAAAGACTCCTCTGTAGGATACTCTGAAGGATTAATGGGAGTGCTTCCTCGTTGGCATTCTTGAAGTAGTCCTCTATCTGCACTTTTAACTCTGCAAACATAATATTACAAATAAAGCTGCAAAAAGTTAGTTCCCGCGAAACATATGACATGTTTCATTATCTTATAAGGAAGGAGCCAGTATTAAAAATTCAAAAAAATTCAGATTTATACCCAAGAAATAAAATCTTAATCCTTAAAACATTTTGATTCAAGAAAAATTAGACTAGCAATAGTAAGTCCTTGATGACTCATGGACTGAACCAAGCAGTTCATCAAAAGACAAAATCTCTATATCTTAATTCGGCAAAGGCAGAGCAACACATTGTACAATCTACTTAATCAGTTTTCGAAAAATATAACCACTGGGAGCCTAGTCAGTAAAGCTTGAAACTATTAATTGACTGAGCAATCATAAAAGGAATCCAATCACACTTTCACAATTCCGATTTTCTCCAACGTTATCAATATAGGCATTCCTCAATAATTGATAATAAACAATCTTATTAATCATTTAAAAAAAAAAAAATCCCTTTTCTTTTTGAAAAAATTGAACTTCAAAAGTTACATAGTACATCAAGATACAATGCAGTTTCTCTCGATCTCAAATGTGAATTAGATGAACTAGGAAATAAATCCCACTGTTTCAATATAGAAAAAACTTATTTAAAAAAAATTACGTTTTTCAATCCGTGGGTTCTCACCTTTGTTGGATACATCTTGGACCTCGGCGGCCTCTTGCTTCTTCTCTTCGGTTTGGCCGACGCTAGATTCAGATGAATCCCTGTTCGTCTCGGCTTCTTTCGTGACATCTATTTCAGATGAAAAATATCGGATTCTCGAAGAGAAGCAACTGATTCGCGGTACATTACGAGTGCTGAAATTGGTAATTCCATTGTACAGGATCACACTTTTCGGTTCGTGTTTATGAGAGAAATGGAGAATACGGGCGTAGAGAGAGACATTCCTCAGCAGAGCCCTTCTCATAGTGATACTTCTTTAGGGTTTAGGGTTTCAAGTTTCAATTAAGTTGTTGCGTGTTGTATGACAACTGAGAAACAGGGCCGATCCTCTGATTGTCAGGGCCTAAGGTGAAGTCTGTAAATTAGGCTCCCCAGCGAAAGCAATGTAAATGCAAAAATTCAACAGTATATTACGCGACCCATTGCTAACTTAAAAAACTAGTATTAAAACAACAACCAAATATATTATAGAAAAAGATTTATATTATAAACAATCAAAACAAACAATGTTTCAAACAATTAGTTAAATACTATTCGTCTTGCTGTTTTAGAGGCAAAAAATTAGTTAAATACTATTTCAGGTCCAGAATCTGAAAAAAATATGTAGAAAAATTCAAAGATTTTATCTTGGTCTTCATGATCAAACAGAAATTAATATGAGTTTTTTAGTACTTCTCTAAGTAGAGCTTCATTGTCACATTGAAGAGTTTCACAGTTGAGTTTAAGGGCATAAGCTGCAGATGTTGGCCACTAGGTTTGAAGAGTTAAGAATGAGAGATGATGAGATGTTTGATGTCTTTTATGCGAGCTTAAATGACATAGTAAATTCGTCTTTCAATCTAGGTAAGAAAATCCCTGAACCTAAGATAGTGAGAAAGATTCTTAGATCCTTACCTGAGCGTTTTAGGCCTAAAGTCACGGCAATTGAGGAGAGTAAGGACATAGACACTATCAAGGTAGAGGAGTTAGTTGGATTCCTCCAGACCTATGAATTGACTTTAGACAATCCCGCTAAAGAAAAATTCATAGCCTTGAAAATCGATAGGAATATCCGGATGGAATCTTCTGATTCTGATTCACCCAATGATGAGGAGATGGCCTACCTAACTAAAAAATTTTGAAAAATATTTAAGAATAAGAAGAAGCCTCAAGAGAGACAAAGAGGTGGCCCGAGTAAATCTAGGAAGAAATCCAAATCCGTGAGATGTCATAACTGTCGCGGTTTTGGTCATGTGAGAAATGAGTGCCCTAGTGCTAAGAGATTTGAAGAGAAGGCTATGAATACTACTCTTACTGATGACGAGTCTAGCTCGGACAATCAGATTAAGAAATCCACCCGTGAGGAGAGTGGAAAATATGTGGCCTTCGTTGCAAGGGATAAAAGTGGATCCGAACAGCGGAGTGATAGGGAAGAGGACTTAGATAATAGTGAAGAATTTGGTGATGAGAGTGGAAGTGAGCAAGATCTAGAAACAACCTATGATAGGATGTATAAGGAAAGCCTTAAGATCTTAGCTGCTAACCAGGCAATGAACAAGAATGTGAAGGGGCTTAGACTAGAGAAGGAACAGTTAGAAGCTCAGGTTAGTGATCTCACCAGTAAGAATGAGATGTCCTCTAGGAGAGTAAGTGAGCTAACTATTGTGAATGAAACCTCAGCTATTCAGGTTAAACACCTTGAGAGTGAGCTAGAATTGTCTAGGTATCAGTTACTTGCCTTTTCTAGCAGTTCTGAAAAGCTAGATAATATTCTAGGTATAGGCAAGCCGGCTGGTGATAGGGGAGGTCTAGGTTTTGATCTGAATGTTGCTAGTACATCACAAACCACCTTTGTTCATGCTACTGACTAGCCAAACATTGTGACTAACCCCATACCAAATGTTGTGGGAATTTCAGGACCTAGGTCTACCAGACGTCGTAGGACCCGTCGGCCTAGGAATAGAAATCAGCGTAAGCATATCATGGGTCCTAGGTTTGTCCCTACATGTTTTTACTGTGGGGAGTTAGGTCACATCCGCCCTAGATGTCATCAGTATCTGAACAATAGGAAAGACTTGAGCCTGAAAAGGAACAAAAATCATGTGTCTGTTTGTCAGATTGGATTCCTTGCTGATCAAGTGAATCGTTTAACTCAATTGATGACACAGCTGTTTGGAAACAATCCCCGTTCTAGACAGATTTGGGTGAAGAAAAACGATCTCCCAAATTTGGTTAGAGATCGCGGTGCTCTTAAAGGAAAGAGCATTTATATACATAATTGATCAGGTATTTTTGATGCATGCTTGGTTCTTGATTGATATATAATTATTGCATGCATCACGTGTATATTGTTTGTTTGTTTTATTGTTTTTCATGTATGCATTTTCACCTACGAGTTTTGGCGTATGCATAATTATTTTTGTCTTTGTGTGCTTGACGTTATTTTATTTTGTATGTGTAGTATTCATTTTAGGAAAAATGAAAAACACAAAAACATTGAAAATTTGAAAAAGACAAAAATAGTTGGTTATGAAAATTTCTACAGCATGACACATGACTTTGAGCTGACGTGTTGTATCATGTAGGAGCTATAATTGATAAGTTGTAGAATAATTTCCATTGTTTGGTTAGGTCTAGTTGGATTAATTTGTATAAGTGTCTTCATGTATCATTTGCATTGCACACACTATGAACTTATTCGTGGGACTCTACTGCGTGTGTGAGATTTGGGATGGCTGTCACATGTTGATGGGGGTGACTTTGAACATGAATTGACCATATTTTTGTAGACCTTAACCCAAAAGTTTCCCTCAATTTTAAATGCTTATATCTTAATGTTCTTTTTCGGGGCTTACTTGACTCGAACAATTAAGTCTGTGGAGTCTCTTAAAATCTGGTGCCTATGGTCAACTGACTTGGTTTAACCAGCCTAAAACTCGCTACATGGGTCATCTTAGTCACCTAATGGAGAAGAACTTGCACTTAAGACGAAAAATTAACGAGCTGGAGAAATGAGAAAAATATGAAAAATATAACGAGTTGAAATACTTTGAAATTTTGAAAAACAAATAAGCTCATAGTGAGGGAGAGATAAGTAAAAATAATAAGTATATGTCCTACTACACGTTACATGGTTTGACTCTCATTAGTAGAAGAACATACTTATTAGCAGTGATTGGCGTGTCCCTTCTCACAAAATTAAGGTTCGGAGTCTGCTTGCATTGGATCAGTGACACTTTACACACATGGGTCACTTATATTATTACTCCATTCTGGACTGAACTAAGTATGTAGGGAATTATGCTACTTGTTAATTTTACTTTTGCATGCTATCAACTGTATTTTTAAGTTATTATGTGTTATTTGCTCAATTTGTTCTTAATATGATTCTCTTCAACATTTGTGACAAAAACAGGAGAGCAAAGTATAACTGAGGGAGAGAAAAAAAAAACATGTAAAAGAGCATACACATAGGGGGAAAGCTACTACATTCACATGATTTCATTTATTGACATTACTTACATTGCATTGCTATGTTTAGGGGTCGTTAGGGAGAGATATAGATACATTTACCTACTGCATAAAAACATGCATGCTTGCAGTAAGGGGAGTGTTGCATTGCATTCCATATCACATCCATCTATTTGAGTTTTGTTGTTTAGTGGTGTTGGTGTCTTGGTTGGTGTTTTGATTGACATCAATATCACGTCTCAAACTGTTATGTTGATTTGTGATTAAGAGTTTTAATTAATTTTTATACTTTCTGTATCATGTACTTTTACACTGGGTATATGAGTTTGTGAATTTCAGGAAACAGGTACACGAAGGAATGCAAGACTCAGTGATTGAGTTTATTGGGTAGTTTAGTTTTTGGTTGTCAAGTCCTGACTTATTTTTTTTATTGTCTTAACTTCATTTGTAGAGTTTTGTCACAGAATGCCAAAGAAGGAATTTGTTAGATCTAAAAGTGTAATTGGTGATTCTGTGGACAAAACGGACTAAATTGTATAATTGTAAAAGTCGGGGACTTAATTGAACATTGGCATAAACGTCAAGGACTTATGGTGCAATTTGTATAGATGAGATAAATTAGTGTTCGAGTCATTGAAAGAGTCCAAGATGTCCAAGAAGATCGAAATGCAATTGGAAGTCTAAATGATATCAAAGAGCCGAACAAATTATGTTCCGAATTTTCAGTCATAACTTGAAACGCATTTTTCACATAGAAAACGTTGGAATTTGGATAAGACTATTTCTAGAAGAATTGTATCTCTTTGAGTTATCTTCCAACACAACTTGAATCACCTCAATCGGATATTGAAAGAGAAAGTTATGATAAAAATACTGACGAATGCTCACTGTCGCTTGCTTCTTGCTGGCATTTCGCTCGAGCGAAAAAAAACAAAATACCTCTCGCTCTATTCTCACTGGCTCTCGCTCGAGCGACACTCCTATGTGGTAAAAACCCTATTTGTTTACTCGGTCCATACTACCTAGACACCTTCAAATATAAATACTCAAGCACTAGAACGAAATTGAAGAGGTTGCGACATTATTCTTTCATCGCAAAAGATATTCATAACATCTTTGAAGAGATCCAAGGTGCAATTAATTGGAGATTTCATCTACATCAATCTTGTGATCCGGCAACCATTGTTTTGGATAAAAACATTGAATTTACATAACCCAAAACACCTTACTTCCTTATTCTATTTGAGGAAGGGACTCTCTCATTGGAGGATTGAGAGATGTGGATTAAGGCGCAGTTACAAGCACAAGAACATATGATTCTTGGTGTTCCACTTGGTGATACAATCAGCTAAGGACCAGGAGGTTGAAGTGGATAGCAGATGGGCTACAGGAGGTAGATCAGGAAGTCTAGCAAGAGGCTAGAAGTATCTACAGCAGTAGATCGTGAGACTGGAACAACGGGTCTAATTGGGTACGGAGTTTGGTATAATTAGTACTTGCTGAATTGGTATAGTGGAGGTCACTGGCTTGGTCCCGAAGTTTTACCCACGTTGGGGTTTCTCCGTCATCATATCGTGAGTTGTGTTTTGTATTATTTTATTTACTTTACGCAAACCGATAGTTCAACATAGGAATTAACTGGACTATATGTTTAATCACCTAGACAATTAATTAAAGTGACGTGTTGCTTTGATTAATCAATTCCGCAGTGAGATCGAATAATAAATTGATTGGAACGTAAGCTTGGTAATATCTAAAACTTGAATTTGACGTAACATAACGTTTTTCGTGAATTTCCAAGTGGTTGTAGAACGTTCCCTGAACTTTCAAAGTTAAAGGAGACCAGGATGAGACAATTATAGAGTATATACAACCCAAGCGGTGTGATTAAGAATTTGGACGAGCATGAATTGCCTATGATGAAGCGACCTTGGCAACATCAAGTTCAATTTGTGCAAGCCATAGAGAAATGTCGTACCAAAGGACGTCACTCCAATAACGTCCTATAGTAGGGACAATATCTATTATTGTTGAATGTAGATTATATGATGAAAATTGAGGGAACACGAGAGACAATCAATGACATAGGATATGTATTTGATTAATCGTGAGTTTTATCAATTTCGTTATGTATTATGTATTAGGATATTAATCATTGTTCAAGATGCTTTTTACAAAATAAAGTGAAGATATTCGATTTAGAATAGACAAACGCAATCATAGAAGAATTTCAAATCAAAATCCATACACAAAGGTTGCAGGTTTTTTAAAATGAAAAGTGTAGTTCGAAGAACTGTCCGTTGCCGGTCGTCTATAAGTGGAGACTAGCGTTGCGGCTTACCTGTTTGCAAAAACTAGAGCATTAAGCTATTAGAAATTTAAAAAAAAAAATACTATTTAAATATACTTGTTTTGATACCAAAATTAAAATTTAATAATAATAATTTAGTGAGTTGGATATTCTTAATTTTAGGATGAACATGCATGCCACGACCATCAGCATTGCCAAACATGAATAACCCGGTAGAAGTCTTTCTAATTGATGAAAGGAAACAAAAGTGAAAATCGAAAAAAATGAAATGTGACACGACAAGATAAAAAAATAGTTATTTTGGGAAAAAGTAGAACATGAAACACAATGAAAAATTATTGCTTATTTATTTTATAAATTTAATATTTCATTTTGAAAAACTATTATTTGTACTAAGTAATAAAAATTACCACGAACATAAATTATACACAATATTATCTTAAAAACTATCAATGCTCAAATCGTTTATGTAGTTTACTGATAAAAGATTGAAAATATAAACTAAATAATATCCTTAATATGCACTTAAATAAAGTTTGAAACAAATAATTGTTCTTTATTTCACATTCTCTTTGATGGAAGTTCAATCGAAAAATATAAAAATTTCAAGTAGAAATGAATTGGAGCACAAATAATTAATAAATTAGGTTTATCTTAAAACCTAACATGTTAATTCTTTTATTACATATAAATAATTAAGGTATTCGTAGAGTTTTTAAAAATTTTGATGCCTAGTCATGTCAAGCTACAACGATAGACTTGTTTGATTTGCAATAGCTGCTGAACAGAGTAACTGTTAAATTTAAGGCCACCATAATTTCCGGTGGAAACTGACTTCTCCATAAACAAGGAAACTACTTAAAAAGATGTAATGTTGAAATAATTGTCCGAAGATCTAACTTTGTTACCTACCCCTGTGGTCGAGTTAATTCATGCAGGTGATGAAGTACATTCTCTATTTTTCGCTATCTTAGCTTGCAACCTCTGCATGAACTTTGGATTAGCTTTAAGTCTCTCTTTGATGATTGAAGTTCCAGCGTCCTCCACCAGTTTCCGAGCTTTACCGGCCTCCTCAATCAACGCAAATAGAGTCCGGAGGCAATCCTTTCTGTTCTCCTCCCGGTGTTCAAACCTGAGTAGAGAACATAATGTTAAAAATAGACAAAAATGTACAGCTTGATAATGCAGAATTGAGGAATAGCCCAAATTCCACAAAGCTGTCAGCAATTAAAAGATACAATTGAAGACTATGGCTGATATTACTTAGTTCAATTAAACTTTATAATTTTCCAAAATAAGAGGAAGTTCCATAGACGAGAATCGGATGCTACATAATTTTACAAGATGTTTAAGCATTATTATAGTCAGTCATTGATGAGAAAAAGCATCACAATATCTACAACTGAGTTACCTCTCACTGGTTATGGTAAGTTCATCTTTTCCTGGATTGTATCGGTTTCCTGCTAATTCTCTTAATCGGCAGAATTGATGCTTTGACAGACCTAGCTCTTTGACAGTAACAGCCAATTTTACTTTTCTATTTTTCGGGTGCCATGCATCACCACCAGGAGCAAAGACCACACGTGTTTGCCACCTAAGAATTGGGCCCTCACCTGGTGGGTCATCAAGATCTTTTTTCTTATCGGGCATAGCAGTCTCATCAAACTGCTTAGGAGCCTCAGCCTCCATCAGCTTAGCACATTCCAATACCATTTGGTCTTCAAACTCCTTAAACAATGCATAGCCTTCTTCAACTTCAAGTTCACCTTTCTCAATCCTATTTGCTATCTCCTCAAACTTCTTTTCCACCTTCTTTTTTATCTTGTCTGAGAAATGTTAAATGATAAAAGTCAACTCAAATTATAAACAGAATCTGAGAACTATTGGAAAAAATTACCAAAATGTTTGTTAGAGGAAAGATGTGCATGTAATGATCCCTGAAATTGTATCACTATGCTACAACCCACAATGTCAAATGCATATATCATTATCATTTCAAACATACTAATCTAGCAAGTTAAAAGATGAAATTAGGGACTTTGAAAATTTAGGACAAGTAAATAAGTTTAGATTAAAGATTGCATGGGAAAGTTTCGTTTGGTCTCAGATTTCAATTATATCACAGGTAACACCATAGGCACATATACAAAAGCCAATTATATAGCAATATAGAGAAACTTCAGTAGCAAGCAAAATCTTATTAGTTAGAGGACAATTACTAAAAACCCATCTGCAGTGTTCCTCATTTTCTTGAGGCTGTTTTGTAATTTATTATGTGTTTTAAGTTCATAAAATGTAGTAATGGAGGTATTTTCATGTATCCTGGAATTAAAACAGAAAAATAGGTAGAACATAACTTTTCACACGAGAAGATGGTCAAATAGACCAAAAGATATATAAAAAATATATTCAGTTTACATCAACATTATAACTCAAGAAAAAAGAGCTATAATGCAAAGGTGCAAGAGAAGAAGAATGGAAGTAAGATTGACATGTCCGAAAAATCAAAGCCTTTTGAAAGTGCAAAATGGTTTTTGATCAATCCAAAAACCGCCATGAAAGATGAAATCAAAGAAAGTTTCTGAATGCGCAAAAAGTAGGAGAAATATTACCAGGTAGAAGTTTGTCCCAGTTAAGCATGTCCTCTAGTATTGCCTCGCATTCCCTAGTATCCTTCAGATGCCCATGTTCGACAGCTTCTGCAATCATGTCATCCCACTTCTTGTCATCCATATTAAAGTAAGGATCACCTGCCATTTTCTTCACCACAATCTCCCTTGCATTGTACAAATCATCAATCTCTTCATCCGTTTCATGACCATCCTCAAAATCTGATTCAAAGTCTTGGTCTTTAACGTTATCTATAGGCTGCATTTGAAGGTCATCCATCAGTTCATCATCTGTGTCATCATGCTTATTAGAAAGACTCCTCTGTAGGATACTCTGAAGGATTAATGGGAGTGCTTCCTCGTTGGCATTCTTGAAGTAGTCCTCTATCTGCACTTTTAACTCTGCAAACATAATATTACAAATAAAGCTGCAAAAAGTTAGTTCCCGCGAAACATATGACATGTTTCATTATCTTATAAGGAAGGAGCCAGTATTAAAAATTCAAAAAAATTCAGATTTATACCCAAGAAATAAAATCTTAATCCTTAAAACATTTTGATTCAAGAAAAATTAGACTAGCAATAGTAAGTCCTTGATGACTCATGGACTGAACCAAGCAGTTCATCAAAAGACAAAATCTCTATATCTTAATTCGGCAAAGGCAGAGCAACACATTGTACAATCTACTTAATCAGTTTTCGAAAAATATAACCACTGGGAGCCTAGTCAGTAAAGCTTGAAACTATTAATTGACTGAGCAATCATAAAAGGAATCCAATCACACTTTCACAATTCCGATTTTCTCCAACGTTATCAATATAGGCATTCCTCAATAATTGATAATAAACAATCTTATTAATCATTTAAAAAAAAAAAAATCCCTTTTCTTTTTGAAAAAATTGAACTTCAAAAGTTACATAGTACATCAAGATACAATGCAGTTTCTCTCGATCTCAAATGTGAATTAGATGAACTAGGAAATAAATCCCACTGTTTCAATATAGAAAAAACTTATTTAAAAAAAATTACGTTTTTCAATCCGTGGGTTCTCACCTTTGTTGGATACATCTTGGACCTCGGCGGCCTCTTGCTTCTTCTCTTCGGTTTGGCCGACGCTAGATTCAGATGAATCCCTGTTCGTCTCGGCTTCTTTCGTGACATCTATTTCAGATGAAAAATATCGGATTCTCGAAGAGAAGCAACTGATTCGCGGTACATTACGAGTGCTGAAATTGGTAATTCCATTGTACAGGATCACACTTTTCGGTTCGTGTTTATGAGAGAAATGGAGAATACGGGCGTAGAGAGAGACATTCCTCAGCAGAGCCCTTCTCATAGTGATACTTCTTTAGGGTTTAGGGTTTCAAGTTTCAATTAAGTTGTTGCGTGTTGTATGACAACTGAGAAACAGGGCCGATCCTCTGATTGTCAGGGCCTAAGGTGAAGTCTGTAAATTAGGCTCCCCAGCGAAAGCAATGTAAATGCAAAAATTCAACAGTATATTACGCGACCCATTGCTAACTTAAAAAACTAGTATTAAAACAACAACCAAATATATTATAGAAAAAGATTTATATTATAAACAATCAAAACAAACAATGTTTCAAACAATTAGTTAAATACTATTCGTCTTGCTGTTTTAGAGGCAAAAAATTAGTTAAATACTATTTCAGGTCCAGAATCTGAAAAAAATATGTAGAAAAATTCAAAGATTTTATCTTGGTCTTCATGATCAAACAGAAATTAATATGAGTTTTTTAGTACTTCTCTAAGTAGAGCTTCATTGTCACATTGAAGAGTTTCACAGTTGAGTTTAAGGGCATCGTAATTGGATTTGAGAAGGCTATCTATCTCTAATTGCTTAGGGGGTGTTCTCTTTGTGTTTCAGTTTTGTGTTTTGAGTTTTGAATTCATTTTGAGTTTTGTGTTTTGAGTGTTTGTTTTGAAATTGTTGAAAATGCGTTCTTTTTGTTAATTTCTCAAAACAAAAAAATAATAATTTTTTTTTTAATTTTGAGAATCACCACAACACCACCTCAAAACACCAAAAAAAAAAAATTAATTTTTATTTATTTTATTTTTTTTGAAATTTTGAGAATCACCACACTATCTCCTCAAAAAAAAAAATTTTAATTTTTAATTTTTTTTGAAATTTTGAGAATCACCACACCACCTACTAAAAAAAAAAAGTGTTTCCCGCGTTTTCAATTTTTTCAAGTTTTACACTGAAAACGCTCAAAACGACAAAAAAGTCGTTTTGTGTTTTCTTCACAAATTTTTTTTCGTTTTCTAAAATTCGTTTTCAAAAACGGGAAAGAGAACACGTTTTCACCGTTTTGAAAAATCGAAAACAGAAAACGACCCGAAAACGGTAAAGAGAACAGGGCCTTAGTCTTCCACCATGCACGGAGGTTTTGGAACCAAACCACCACCTGCTGTAACCTATCATTCTATCAAACTAAGTTATTCAAATTAACTATAAACTATTTTACACATGATAGGAGATAGCATTAGAAAAATTTCCTATATACAGTAAACCTTATTATGTCTCTGCATAGCATTAGGAAAATTTTACTCATGTCTCTGCATTTTCAAGAAAGTAAACCTTACACTATGCATACAGTATATTATCTATATAAATCTAATACATACAGAAAAATTTTATTTTTCTTCTGGAATTCTTGGAAACAAAATTTAAATAATTATGTTCATTAATTTCATATAACTACTCTCCCATTTCAATTTGCGATAAACCTTCTTCCAAGAATTTTAACACAGTAACACTCAATCCTCGCAGTCGTCAACCATTCCTGTTCCATTCCCTTTCCCTTCCCAACTCTTTCCAAGAACATCTCTGAAATTCAATTACAGTATACCCACAGCCCACATAGAATAAAAAGGACCATTTATCAATTAAAATCAAGCCATCAAAATTATAATAAGTAAATGCCTGAATGTAAATGGTAAAAGTGTTGAACTCACTAGGGAAGGGAAATCGAACTTACTCGTTCGACAACAAAAATGCCCAGCCAGTAGCCACTCGACAGAAGGAGGCTACTCGGTGTTTGAACTTTAACTCACTGGGAGTCTGAGACAGTGGCCAGTGAGAGAGACTCGAGGCTCCAGCGAACTGAGCGAACTGCGAAGCCAACTAGCCAAGCCGCGGAGAGGAAATCTGGGATGCTGGAACTGGAAGCGGAAGGAGAAGTCGAGCGAGAGAGACGGTCAGACGGAGACAAGCGCTAGGGGAAATTGAAATTCAATTTGGGACTTCTGGGTAAAATGGATTTCGGATTACGGGCTTGAGCGTGAGAGTTTTGGGCCGCTCTTGGCTGGGCTGCCATTCTTCAAAAAAAAAAACAATTGGGCCAACAATATGAGGTCCCCTTGAATTTTGAGCCTGAGGTGCAGGCCTCATCCGTCTGGCCTCGAGACCGGCCCTGTTGAGAAATGAATGAAATTTTCATAACTCACCCATTTATGTTTATTCCACATTGGTTACTCAGCTTCAATTTATTTCAATTTACTCTTCTAACTTATATTTTTATTTCAATTTTATCATTTAGTCCATAACCTAACTAGTGGAATTCATGACCCAACCTATATTTTTAGCAACACAATTTGGTGTTTTATTATTTTTATTGAGCTATGACAAATTCAATGTATTTCGTACATTACTTATTCATGAGAGTGAATCATGTTCGTTATGCTTGACATCGCTTTACAATCATTATGAACAGTGGATGAATTTTTGTTGCGCCACTTTACAATTAAATTGAGCGTGACCATATTTAAAAGAAAATTAAAATTCAAAAAATAATTCTCTTACACTACTTTAAATGTACATGAAGACACGATAAAAAGCCATAGTTAAGGTGATGTGATCCGGGATATGCCACAAACCACCGGAGAGTTAATGATTGTTGGCGAGAGGCTAAGGACCAATTTGGGCTTAATTAAAGATGTTAGAGTCGGCAAGATGTTTGTTCGAGCCATGGAATTCAAGGTGTTGAAATGTACAAGCCAAGTTCCAAGAGCGATATCGAGCCAGGTTCGGGACTTCAACAAAGTTAATAAAACCAACCAATATCATGATCGAGCTATGGGTTTCAAAATGTTAAAGCTAACAAGCCAAATAACAACTTATATCTTGTTCTTGAAGGTGGAATCATGTTTGGTGCATTGGATTCAAAGTTTTGGACGATATATGGAAAAACAAGTAGTGTGGATTAAAACGGGCATAACTTTTAGGTCGGCTGTCGGATTTTTGGCCCACGAGTACAATCCAGAATCGTCATAAATTTTTGCACAAGGAGGAAGTTTCAAAAATTAAACTTTGCAATTGCATAGTTTAAAAGCCATGCGACCGCATAGGCTATTTTCAAGACAAAATTGAGGCTGACTATTTGTTCATGCGATTGCATTGATTTATACTATGCGACCGTATAGTACAACTTCTAGATGTGATTTTCCAAAATTTGGGAAGTGTTTTATTTATGGTAGAATTCTATTTATTTGACATCTTTTTAATCTTTTAGAGTAATTTTCGTCCTTAATTAGTTTTTCATATAAATTGGAGCTATTATATCAATTGTAACAAGACTTTTGATAATGAAAATTTGAGACTTTTCTCTCTGAAAGCTTTTTGCTTTAAAACTTTGTTCTTCCATGAGCAAAAATCGAACTTATCAAGATTAACCATCTTGTGGCGTTCAACAAATTGGATGTGATTTATATAATTATTTGTAATCAAAAGGTCCTTCATAGCGTGTTTCTTGTTTGGTTGTTTGGTTCGTAATTATTGGGTCAGATCCAAAATTTCAGGTAAAATTCATAATCTTGCATAATCAAGAGGTCAATAATTTAATATATTATTAGTTGCTTGGTTCCAATATTGTGGATTGAATTCAAAACCTCGATTCTTGGTTTTCTTGGGATCTAGTTCAATATCTCGTCAGTTTCGTAATGTTCATTGCTACGCGGGTTCGCATCATAAGGTATACATAATATATAGTAGAGTAATTGTGTAAGACACGATCTTTTCCAAAAAAAAAAAGAAAAGTGTTTGTTAAAATTAGAATTATAGTTAAAGAAGTTAATTCTTCAAGAATTGCATTGTTAAATTTGAAGTCTCTTAAAATCTTTGCTTTAACATGAGAGTGGAGATACTAAACTCATTCATGCCCTCGTTTGATTCTCATTCTTATAAGAATGAGAATAAAAAATATAGCCGTTTCGAGACCCACACAAAAGAGAGGAAGTCAAATATGGTTCCTTGATGTAATGGATAATGATCTTTTTTTTTTTTTTTTGCCAAAAAATGAGAAACAAATGGGCCCATGATATTAAAAAGGTACCCTTGTTTGAGCTCCATTTTCAAATCACATATTTTCCTATAAAATAATTTTATATGTATATCAAAATTTTTCTTATTTTTTAAAACTATTTTTAATTACACATTCTTCAAACAATACTATTTCAAAACACTTTTTTTTTTTCCAAAAATGGGGCTCAAACAAGGGCAGCTTTTTTATTTTGGTGTCATTCTTTTCATTTCTTGTTTATATGTTTGATTCATTATTCAACATAAGCTAGTTCACATCAATTTATTTCCACTTCTAGGACTAAATTGACACAATTCGTAATTGAAAATTATTAGGGTGTGTTTGAATGGAAAACTTTTCGTGGAAAATTGCCTTTTTTCACCTGAATTTCAACTTTTGGTGTGTTTCATTACAATTTTTTCCATGAAAAATATTTTATTGCCTTCAAAAATATATCCAATTTTCCTATTTTTGAGGTTAACATTTTTTTTGGGAGATGTGGGGTTTTTTCCTCAAAATAGGGAAACTATATTCTTTTCTAGCAAACATATTTCATGCCAATCAATCACTCTTAATAAATTAGCAGTGTCTCGTACGATATCTACATTGGGTGCGAAACGATCATCGGAATTAAAACTCTGAATTCTTTCATGTAATTTTGTACTAACTTAATGTCCTAAACATGTCAATTGCTCTCAACTTAGTCAACCAATCATGTTAATGTATTAAGGAAAAGGGATAATTGTAGCAAAAGCCCTAGACCTTCGAAACATTGGCCGACTGTTCCCAAACTTTTTATCTATTGCAAACGTCACTCTTAATCTTTTCAACCGTTGCATGTGAGGACATTTTGAATGGTTTCCAGAAAATTGTCGTTAGTTGACTACCAAAATTAAATTTAACCACATTTTAATAAATTTAAAAAGGGCAAAAAAATAAATTTCTATCTATAACATTAAACAATTATAAAACTTAAATCAAACCCCCCTCATCCCTTCCCAAAAAAATAAAGAAAAAAAATGAAAAAAGAAAAAGAAAAAGAAAAATATATCTTCTTCTTCTTCTCCACCCCATACTCATCTTTCCAACCCCTCAACTCAAAACCAGAAAAAATGAACCTGCCATCGCTATTGAGCACCACTGCTTGCTACCTTGGTTCCAACTAATTGGAAGAACTACCTTGATAATCAAATTTGAACTTAAGAATTTGCTTGACTTTTCAAAGAGAGACAACCTCCAAATTTTGAGTAAGGAATTGAAATAAAATTCGATATAACCCTAACTTCATCTTCCATGTGATTACGCAACCCAATGTTAGTGGTGACACTCCAAGCTAGCCCTCCATTCAGCCCTGCACCACTTTGTATGACCCCAATAGTCTACCACCACTTTTTCTGCTGAAGGATTCTCTCTTTAACACCAGCAATCGAGTGGAGACTTCTCTCTTCGTCATCATGGCTCTTTTGTTCACCACCTCTTTGGCTTCCCACTTCACCACACATGGAGGATGCTTTCTTCTATTTACCATTTGGCCTCTTCTTTTTACCATCATGGCATCTCCATTCTTTCACCAGTTCTCATGCTTCCGCTACCACTAGCAAGATGCCATAGAGGCTTCATTCTACACCATGGATCCTGTTGGGAAATTATCACACCAGGGTTTGGAGAAGAAATCGAGAAATGGAAATTCAAGAAGATGAAAATAATGGGAAAAACTTAAATAAATATGAAGGCTCAAACATGATATTATATTGTTGTCCTCAAATGATATTTGTCCCCTCTCGTCTATAATTTTGGTGCTTAAAGGGTCTCGCGGCAAATGATTTGTAGAATTAATCAAGCCTTGTAGAAAATCAAACACTTAAGCATTTGTGTGACTCTCTAAAACTTGAAGAACACTAGGGGAATTTGAATATGGATGAAGAAGATTTTGGTTTCTTCTTGTGGAATGAAAGAATGTTCATCATATGTTTGTAATATAATTTTCTATGTTTTTCATTGATCATCCATGGCCTATTTATAGGTCTCAATCAATGCCACAAATTGGTGCGAAAAACATGTTGAAAGGTTGCAAGAAACCCTCCAAAAGTCGCTAAAAAACTACTAGAAACGACCTCCAACGATCACTTGTTACTACCATGCGACCGCATGGTATAACTTCATGCGGTTGCATAGAGTTCTTCAAACTGGCCTCTTCAGTTTCGGGTTGTGGCCATGCGACCACATGGCCGTATTGCTATGCGGTTGCATGGCATTCATCTTGGACCTCCGATTTTAGTTTTATGTTCCAATTTTGTTCATTCCATTCCACACACGTGTTTATTGATTTTGAACAACATATTTTCAACAATCTCCCACTTGTTCAAAATTTCAATAAACTCTCAGATTCAAAGTATACAATACTCATACGTGAGGATTAAATATCTTTTAATTTGAATCTAATCATAGTGTAATTCAAACAAAGTATAGTCGGAATCAAAGGTAGCGTGAAGCTTTGAACCAATTGTTCCATGTGACAATACCGGTAAGAACACACACACGAGTATTACGTGTTCTCAAATTCCTCATAACTCGCTTAGCGCTAATATGGCCTTGCGCTCATCCTTTTCAACAAACTTTTAAGAGAGAAACTCCAACTCTCAATTGAGGCGGCACCACCTCGAAGTTCGTTTAGATGAAGTTCTTCCAGTACCTTTGTTACTTTTAAAGATACTTGTGTTTTAACACTGAACTTCATTAAGAGCTTAAGGCTCAACCCTCACTTCAGTAACAATCAGCATTATTTTAACTAGGATAGGATCATTGCGGATTGGAATAATGCTACAATTATCTACATATCGAATGACTTATTATTACCCTTTGAACCCGTAGATTATCTTTTGAGTAATGACGGGTAGGGTTGCCGTCATTGGTGGACCATTTTAGTTTAGGAGTTTTCAAC